AGATGGTGGAGAAGATTTGAAATGTTTCTATACACACATACTGAAATGAACGAATCTCTATTCAATGAAACGACTAATAGTTAGGCTGGCAGAATAAATATATGGGTACAATGGTACAATGAAATAGATAGGCTGTTATTGTACGAATGACTCTGCTCGGTAAATGGGCCAACCAAATTAAATGTGAACAAACTTAATCGCACGCGAGCTACTATAATAGCTCCAACTAAATATGCCAAGAGCGTCTGCATTTGTGAAGGAAAAAATACTAAGTTTAACTGGATGATGAATATCCAAACCTGCGAAAGTAAGACGTATAATTGAACTATCCTATAGGATATTGCAAATACGTGTGAGCTTGACATCGTATACGTCCGTGAGACCAGATAAAGTGATAATGGAAGATCAGGATAATACAGTGGTGCTTATAGACGTTCATTTACATTGACATCCGAATGTAAAATAATATGTAGAACAAAAGAATTGATAAGTCAAAATTTTTGATGTGTACATACAAAACGAAGAGGAAAAGAAAAAATTCACATATGATGAGGTGAAAGAAACTATTTATTCGTAGCTATAGACCTTTGTGAACAACGCACTCTCCGACCATAACTTGTGGTCACCGGACACTTCTCTTATCGCTGCATTAGCGTCGTTGATTCTCGTTTCTCGTTGGCGTGACCATCTTCGAAGGTTTTGCATTTGTTGATTGAAAATCACTATCTATGAAAGCTGGTTTCACTCGATCGATGATGATTCCATCTGTCTTGCCAGCTTTTTCTATGGTAACTGTCTCGTCTGTCCTCGTAATCAATTTGAATGGACCGTCGTATTTCGATTGCAGAGGTGGATGTACATTATCTCTTCTAATAATACGTGAGTATTATTATGCAGTCGCTGCGGTATGAACACTCGTCTTTGTTGTAGTCTGTGAAGTGTTATTTTTGCTCGTTCATGTGCTTCTTCAGACGTTGCACGGGATTGGCTACACCTGTCGGAACACTATTTCCTGAAGCGAAAAATTCTCCAGGTAAACGTAGAGTAGTTAAATATACCAACTCAGTTGAACATCATATGTCCTGTTTAATTGTTGTTCTTAGACTCAACATTACTAGAGGAAGCTTATTAGCTCAATCGTTGTTGACAATGACAGATGTAAAGAGCACTTTCGACTGCCTATGCGGGTATTCAACCATTCCGTTTGCCATTGGATGATAGTATGTCGTTCGAATACGTTTAATTATGTGGTGTTTAAGGTGCTGGAAGAGTCGACTTTCGAATCGGACTTCTCTATCGGTTGTGATAATCGCTGGTACGCCATATTGAGAGATGCAATTCTCCACTAGGGCTTTGGTTACAGACTCAACTGAGGTTCCATTTATCGGTACCACTACAGGGCATTGTGGAAATCTATGATGATGCAACTGCCTAATCTCTAAGGACTTGTGTGGAAGTCACAACCTTGTCTACACTGACTCATCGTATGGTAACGATTACCAATATATGATGAAGAACACATTTAGCCTAGAAATAGAAAAACATATTTAGTATGAAGAAAAGTTATATGACAACACCAAACGATGACCACGCCTGCCAGGCCGAGCTGGATGGAATGTTTGAGACCCACTTTATTTCGCGTTACTTTCACGAGTTTGATAATCTCCTCTTACAATAATTCACATGGATCAATGCGGCTTTTATCAGGGAAACGGATTTCACGTTTCTCTTGTCGAAGTCGTGTGACTACCGTTTACAAGTCTGTGAGGCTGAGAGACCACTAGCAGATCGCAGGTACACAAAACATCTGTGTCTATTTTGGGAACTGATTCACCTGCTACGAAATCGTCCCAGCTGTACGAAGCGCCTCGTCCAAAATCTAGGGACAACTTTCGTCCGTCGTATGCTCACCGCTCTTAGCACTAGTAACATAATAACGTTTTTTCATCTTCGCTTACTACTCTGATTTCCGCTACCGTATCTGCTACGAACTGAACGCCGGCTTCTCTGTCCTAGACGAAAACGATTGTTTCTACGATCTATGTTAATTATCGCAGGCGCCACCAATAACCAGTATGATCGTTTAAATTTGCTTTGTGATACACAGTTTATAGTATGTTTGAAGGAAACAGCATGCGGTAGGGGCTGAGTGTCTCCTTGTGCATGAGAGGCTTCTATCTCTCGGTCTACCTTGCGGCCACATTCTCTGCCTGTTGTTCTGATAAAAGGCTCGTCAGTTTGTGGCATAGAAAACTGTTCCCTTCTTGTAACGCATAGATTCTTTAGTCTGCTGTGGAATTATACCTTTGTAGACTTGAGTGTCTAGCTCTCTCATAAATAACGTTTGCAAAATTATGCAAGTGCATTCAAAATAACGGTATAATAAATCGGAAATTTTGAATGGAAGACTGCCTATGAACACATATACTTTTTGATGATGGTTGCCGTAGTTCTCCGATTTTCAGCTCAGTACAATAGAACTGCCTTGATGCTTGTATTGAAGATTCTGAATTTGATGTTCGCTGACAGTTGTTTTGAAACTCAAGTGTGTGCAACTCTAAGAATAGTGCCTTCACCGTGCCAATCCTTGCCTCTGCATCACATCTTTCTAGTTGGTCGATCATAATTCCCAGATACCTGAATGTTTCCACACCTTCCAGAGCTTCTTTAACGAGTGATATTCGGTCCATTTTCATCATGTTTCAGGTGTGGGTTTTCATTTTTCCCTTGTGAATGTTGAGGCCTATAGCTGTGGAGGCTGCTGATACACTGTCTGTCTTCACTTGGATTTGTTGATGAAATTGATACGGAAGAGCTAGGCTATCAAAATATTTAGGTGCATTGGAGCTATCCTTTTTGTTCTGTGCTTCTCCTGTGATGTGAAAGTCATCACAATTCAGTGGCTGAGCACCTGACCCGTTGGATGTATTGGTTTTACGACTGTTTTAAGTTTCGCTTCTTAGTTGTCTAATTTCTTGGAGTGGATCTTGTAAGACGTGGAGATTGCTGCTGAGATCTATCTTGAATTCTATGAGTTTGTCATTATTTCCAAGAAACGCTGTAATATTATGAATACGAATATATATATATATAGATATAGATATAGATATAGATATATATAATTATTTCATCTTATTAACTCGAGAAAATACCAAATGCGCAGACGTTCAGTGGTAGAATTACAAATTGATTGGAAGCATTAGATTCCATGCCATCTTCACAGCAGATCAGACATATATGGAAGTTTTATTTGAATAAGAGCGTTTAGTGACATGAATAAGTACAAAATAATTAGAAAGGTTACAAATGCACGCTTTGTTGCCACATATTTGTTTAGCTTTATGTCAGTCCTCAAATCGGCTTGTAAAAGCTTCGATGTGCGCGTTAGGTGAGTGATATGTGACTGCCAAATACGACGATTTAACATCACAATAAATCAAATTCTCTTCAAGGATATTAATCCGTGATTTTAGCTCTACACTTCGTATCGCACACTAAGATATGATTTGTTTGAAATCACATTCATTTTATAGATTGCATTTACATTGTGATTCGATGTTCTACAAGGCATTTCAATTTTTCTGATTTCTTTATGTCTAGGCTATTCCAGTTTTCTCACGCGCACGAATATTGAATGATTTATTCAGTCTTGCAAAGTAAGTGTGAAGTGGAATGAAACCAATTTTTTGGATGATATTTATTCTGTTACAAAATATCAGGTTAGTTAATTACTTTTATTGCAAATACCAATTAAAAACACGGAAAATTTGTGGAAAATAATCAAGATGTATAAACAATGAGTATTTGACAACGTATGTCATCTGATCGTAGCGGAAATGCTTTGTAGAACCTGGAGATTCTCAGTGATATCCGCCCAAGATCGGAGACCGTGAGACAACATTTGTACAATAATTAGCCAGATGTATCTGTGAATGAGGGAAGCAGTGAATAATAGACAGGGTATAATTAAGGAATGGAAAATCGTATAATAGCAGTTTACAGGGTGAAATGAAACTTATGACAAGAGAGACATGAATATGAATAGTTTGGTTAATTATTAGTTATACGATGAAAATATACACATAGCATTGGTCCACAAACGGATCTCAAAATTACCATTCATTATTCTTGTCGGTACATAACAGGTTATTTTATCAAAACAACCAGTATCAAAAACAAGAAAATACACTTTCATTTATAAGCAATTTATGCCTTAATATAATGAAAAATTTAAAATTTATTCAGTGATCCACCAAGTGATTCTATCAAATGGGGTAAGATTCTACAGTTATGGTTCAAAACGGATCACTTGAAAATATCATCATTACTGCATTTTTAATAGTTTAATGGAGATAAATGTTCTAGCCTTCTTGTCCCTTAGAGTAAGCTGTTTCTGATGTTACCCAGTCAACGGATATTCGTAATATTGTGCAGACGATTGTTCACAGATACGTGTACTCATTTGATGTTGGTTGTAGCAGATCGCCAATTTTTTAGCTCAGAAGAATAGAACTTTTAAATTCCTATGCAGATTGAGTCCAGTATGTATAATCGATCTCGAGGAACATAATGCAGTATCTCCTCATTTTCTTAGCTATCTGACCATTCCTCCTGGTGTCCCACACTGTTCGTACATCCTATGTACCTTTACTAATTGTTGCTCTGTTTGAAGGAAGGCAGAGAGTCCTCGTGACATCCGCGGAATCTCGGTATTCACTATGAGGCGTCATAACTATTATAGATAAAGATTTTTCATATAGGAGACCAGAGTTTGAATGGTTGCAATGACCTTTTTCTGGACAGTCATATTTTACCGAGGTTGTTTTCTGTGGCATGTAGTGGCTAACCCTACGCCTAAAACTCCTCATGATGAATGAAAATTTTCATTCCAAACAAACGGAAATTAAGTACTATTTATTCAAAATGTAAATTTTCTTTCTGATCAAATATAAATATTGTCACTTTACAATAATTCTCGTCTCTGTTTTTTTTTAAAACAGATGTCTCTTCTTCATGAACAAAATCAAACAAGTTCTATCATTGAAATAGAAGACGTTAGTTATTTTAAAGATGCTGAGTGTTATCGAATTAAACTCAAAGCGCCATTGCAACCATATACTTATTACAACCTGACATTTGGACAGTTTCGTTCTGATATGGACTATGATTCTGATGGACTGTATATTAGCAGATATTTGGAGAATGGGATTTACAAGTGAGTCTCGATTCAAGGTATACGTGTGCGGGTTTATTTGGTAGCGGTTGACGGGCGTTACATGAGCAATAGTGATGTTTACTGACTAATATCACAATGCTGAACACAGTGAGATAGAACTTATATTTACTGAGTCTCTCTAGTGCTCAATGTAAACTTGTTACATCAAAACTTGTATCCATTTTGTAGTGACTTGAAAAACCTACTACTACGTCCACATCGTTAATCTGCATGTCACTGACATTATCTGCCATATCTACCACATTTCTCTGTTAGTAAATGGGCACATTTAATCATTTTTTCAATACAAAATGTGACGATTATCGACCATTAACGAAATAAGTGACACATGTCTGGTGGAATATCTTTCTAACTGTCTCAATTCTTAGTATATGTGTGACTCATTATGAACAAGTGTCCAAAAACGCTTGCCATTAAGATTCTCTCTCTCAGAAACACTATTTACTTGTCAATAAACATGACGATAATGGCCTAGTATACAGTAGATGTAAAAACTTATGCATTGCAAATCTGTTATTATTATTATTATCATTATTCACAAAAATCTTATGGGTACATCGGTGTTGTGAAGAAACCATTTCGGCTTTCGCTGACTGAACATAAATATATTACTCAGAGAACATTTTACAGACTAATAAGTCATTTGTGAAGTTTGTCATCTGACTGAATGTGTTTTTGTCAAGAAATGTATTAATTCAATGCTAACTCGATAATGAAAACTCTTCTCTAGGAACAGAATGTGTGTGTATTGAAGTGCGACGTGTCCGGTGGTCGTCATATCGTAATTAGGATCAGTAATTTTATATAGCAACACACGTGCAATTGAGTATGTCCACATTTAATTCGGTTACGCCATTTTGTTAAATTATTATCGGACAAAGCTATTCGTGCAATAACAAATTATTTATATCATTGTACCTTTATTATTGTTGCGAATGTATGAACATGTATACCTGAGCATTGCTTACTGCCTACTGTATATTCATTCTGCTAGCTTTAACATCAGTTGCTTAATTGATTCGTTGATCCATTTATTTCTCTCTCTCTATATATATATATAGGAAGACTGATGGATTTTCACTGGTTTATCAATGAACAATAATACATACGAATAATTGCAAATAGTGTCGAGAATTGTGAAACAGTTTAAACGTAATGATAAATTCATAAGTCATCAAAAAATATGAACCAAAAATTTTCACGTCAGGGCAAATATAATTCTGTAGATGTACTTAGCAACACTGTGAATGACACAATAATAGACGAAACATTTGAGTTAGCCACAGGTGACATGTTTAGCATGGTATTCCCTTCTAAAGCACCATTTAGATCTCCACCTTTCGGAAATGAGATAAGTACTTGTATACATATGTTCTTCGTTATATATACTTCAGATATGTGGCAAGTACTGATTTAGAACCAAGTGATGCCAGGCGTATATTACCATGTTGGGATGAACCAGAATTTAAAGCAAAATTCAAGGTATTTGACGTCTATTTAAAATTTTTTCGTTTTCATTTTTTCCTGCATGATTTGTGGCTTGTTGCAAATCTGGGCCAGATTTTTAAAACGCAAAAATATTGAACCAAGTTGTACTAAGTGATTTAAAGTTGTGTGTGTGATATGCGAAATTCTATTTGACGATTATAATGAGCTTAGCCTACTTCAGTCATGTTATGAAACACACTATTAGTTAGATTGCAAAATGAGTTCATGACTGCGTTTTGTCCACACGCTCCAATATTTATTAATGTATACCACACACTTTGGGATGCAACTGAATATCTGTTAAAAGGCACGTGTACTAAAATTTTTGTACAGTGTTCTTATGTGAAGCTACTGAAATTATCCTAGTCAACGTACAGTGACAATCTAAAATGACGTATTTTCTTCCAGAACGTTGGCGTATATAATAACAAACATAACCGTTTTGCAATAAATTGATGCGCAGATCAAAGTAACAAGAACCTCTAACATATATATCATACCCCAAAGCTTTCTATAAACGATGATTATGTACACAGTGTTGATGAGTTCTGATTGGAAGCATAATAATATTCGTTTCATCGCTTGTGCACGACAAAAACTGCAGATGAATATCAGGCACTCGCAGATCGTACTCAATAAAACACGACACCAACTTTCCTAAACAAGCATCCAAGTGCATGTGAAGATATAGTCTATTCAGGATGCAACGTATTTCAGTCAGACAACACTTCCACGATGGGCTTATGAGTAATTCATCAACTCAGTTAGAAAATTAGTTTCCACACGAGTTAAGGATTTCCAGGTGGATATGCGATATATTGCTAAATAAGCACGATAAGAATCTTGAATTGTTTCAATTTGTTAAACATTCCACTTATTATTCGAGAACAAATTTCTCACGTTTGTGTCTTTCAGGTCAATATTGTACGCGACGAAAATTTCCATTCGCTTTCAAACATGAATTTGGAAAGTACGGAAGTGTTGTACGATAATTGGCGTGTCGACAGGTATAACACCAGTGTGAAAATGTCCACATATCTGTTGGCATTTGTAGTTTCACAGTTTTCGAATATTCAGAGGACAGACAATAGAGGACGAAACGTGAGTGTTATAAATTACACAAACGCTTTTGTAACTCTCCATGCAATACTTTTGTAATGTATCGAAATCATGTATATCCAGGAATAACCACCATGAGATTGCATGCAACCGATCATCCGAGACGGTTCGGGATATACGTAGCTCCACGTTACATACATACTAGCATTCACTGTGAAGTAGTGGCAGTTCCTGGATGTTTCGAAGTTATGTGAACACACTTAAAACGCCGCAGTGATGGTAGAAACTAAAACAGAACACGTGAATAGAGGATGTTCCATACACGTATTCAAAAGCACAAGCATTGTTTGATGCTACAAGTTATTGTTTTACCAATGCTGAGTTCTCTGTGTTTCAATCAAATCAAAGTGGTTCAATCACTCGTGACATTGAAAACAGTTTTTTCTATCAAGTTTTAGCAATAATGACTGGAAGTTCATTTAGGTTTTTCATCAGACTGATCAATTTCTGTATAAAATAATTCTTTCATTTAGTTCACTGTTTGGGCAAGACCGGATAAAATTCGATCAGCTGAATATGCACTTGATATTGGCATAAAATTATTGGGATACTTTGAAGATTATTTTGGCATTCCCTATTCACTTCCTAAAATGGGTAGGTGTTTCACTAAAATGTGTTTCCATTTAATATATTTGTAGTTAAATACTGTACAATTCAAACTATGCAACCAAACATTAAGATGTAAATAATCTAGAAAAATACACATTCAACTAAATGTGATGTTACTTTAATGGTACTAATTATATTTTGAACTGAAGTGGATTGAATGTAAATAAAAATAGTCATGAATTTGGATGTCCATAATTAATCCGTTTATATGGTAGGCACATTAGTGTGATAATATGTCATTAGAACCGCGTACATTTCAAACGTATTTTCCATAATATTTCCAGATATGATTGCGATTCCTAAGACATCAATGATGGCAATGGAAAACTGGGGATTGATAACTTATGATGAAAATTTAATGTTATGGGACGCAGAAAACAGTTCAATAGCATCCCAAATCCTCGTGGCTTTATTTATTTCACATGAACTTGCTCACCAGGTATGAGCTTGAATGAAAAATGAAAACTTAAATTCAATTTATATCCCTTTAATTTCCAGATCGTTTGTATCATAAACTGACATACTTAGAAAACGGACAAATATTCATTCATTGTTGATTTCGAATGCAGCAATGATAACCCACAAGATATCCGAGCCTTTCAATAAACTAAATTTGTTTACTTCATTAGGTCAGACTCCAGTAACACACGTTTCTATCTTAATTCAGTCCCTGTCCATTGTCGATAGACATTATTATCAGAATTCGGTTTACTAATAAGAAAAGCCACCACTTTCGAAATTTTACATGTGGTTATAATGAAAATATAGCACAATAACTGCTCTCATGTAATCAATTCTCACTAGTTGTAGTTGGACTCCATGAGTGACTCATTTTCACTATACTATTCGGAACTCCTTTACAACTAGGATGCAGGAACCGAATTTAAGATTTCATTGCGATGTACAAGCATCATTTTTAACAAAATAAGTATATGACCTCATGTAAATATCGAAATCGATTGAACAATCCAAATGTGTTACGTCTATCAGCTTTCAATTTAAACACTTTTCTTTCAGTGGTTAGGAAACTTGGTGACAATGAAATGGTGGGATAACTTGTGGTTGAATGAAGGCTTCGCAACATTTTTCGAATACATCGGAGTACGGTTACTACATCCTGAGTGGAAAGTAGTAAGTTGAGTGTTTTGCTTGAGGAAACTATCAGTTCCCTGTTTCATTTTGCACATGTCACTTGTCATTTCAGAAATGTTTTTCATAGAACTTGTACATGCTGTTGTGAATCAGAGATTTTTTTAAATAAAGCTGGAGAATTCAATAAATTTTCGAACGGCATTTGAAGAATTCACAAACACCAGGATAATTTTTGACCTTTTATTAAATAATTGCGAATGTTTGATTAATTCTGGACCTTTTTATGATTATATTGTGGATAATAATGTTGTCAATAAAACTGATTTCATTCTTTGATGAATAGGATGAACTATTCATACTGGACGAATTGATTCGTGTGCTTGATAGAGATACATCAATGAAGTCAAGACCAGTCATTTATTCAGCCAATACTACAACACAAATTAAAAGCATGTTTGATATATTCACTTATAGTAAGGTTAGTTCTGTATTGACTGTTCATTTTTTTTAATTTTTCATACTATTTAGTTGATCGTCTAAGCAATCATGATATCAAACAGAAGAATGATAGTTCTGTCAACGAGTAACTTGAGGTGTTTCTAATAAAACGGCACTTGTACAATTATCTCTCTTTCATCATTTCAACTTTAATAAAAGCACTTTTAGTAGAATGAAGTGACAAATCAGACTTTCATAGTCACAGATTCAATTGATTTATCTGACTGAATTTTTGTGAAACCAGTTTGATACATTCAGAGATATGAACAAAGTTCAATCCCAATTGTTCAAGCAGTAAAGGAGAGTTTTAGATAGTCATTTTCACGTACAGCAATTACTATCTAAAACTCTCCTTTACTGCTTGAACAATTGGGATTGAACTTTGTTCATATCTCTGAATGTATCAAACTGGTTTCACAAAAATTCAGTCAGATAAATCAATTGAATCTGTGACTAAAAATTTTGAAAATTGCAATATCGTGAATAAGCACATCATTTATGGACGAACAATATTTAGTTTGTGTACGTGTTCTAGTACTCGAACTAATAATTTTGGTATTGAAAAACGTGTTATTCATAATAATTTTAACACATATTTTATAATCAGAGTGAGTTTTGTGGAGATTTTAGTAAATTTCACAGGTTGAAGTCATGAGTCAGTCTGTGAAATTTACTAAAATCTCCACAAAACTCATTCTGATAATAATCAACTGCTCACTAGTGACTGACTTCAGGAGAACCTCCTGGAGTTCTAGTGAGAAGCCGTCACCACCGGAATTCAACCAGGTCTGTTGTGAGATATCAGCTCACTGAAGACATTGGTGTTCGAAGGCGCAACTTCGCGGATTGGTTGAAGTTAGACATTAACACCGTTGGATGCCGGCTCAGTGGTCTAATGTTTAAGTGCTCGCGCGCGAAGCCAGTAGGTCCTGGGTTCGAATCCCACAGGGGGCGGGTTCGTGGATGCGCACTGCTGAGGAGTCCCATACTAGGACGAAACGGCCGTCCAGTGCTTCCAGGCTTTCAATAGTGGTCTACCTTCAACTGACTCATGATTTCAACCTGAGACATATTTTATAGTTCATCAATAAAACTGTATATGATTGATGCATCTCTAAATGTAAGTGACGTCTTGGCATTCGAAATCATGAAGTTCATTATTCTCTCATATTTGCAATTAACAGAATTGTGTATGTTTTAAGAAAGTTACACAACAAAATTTCAGTGATGTTTAAACTTGAACTTTATATCTAGGTTAAGACTACGAAAACCAGTATTTTATTTACACCATAGAAAACAGTCACTATCTGAATGATTGAATAACCTTTGTTAGACCAAGTAAATGAAATGACTTCTAATTCATCATTATGACACAATTGTATGAACGAAGAATATTCTTTTCAATAATTTCTCATCAGGTTCTACAATTATAAATCCAGATTAATAATCCATAAAATTTACCCAGATTTAGGGCGAAATACATCATTTGGAAATTGTGATATGTGACTCAGGTATTGTTTGTTATATAAATAAAATCGTTAATGTTGGGGCTGACTAATATGAAGTGTTAACTTGAATCAGTTTATAAGCGAAATAAAATTGTGAGATAAATTATCAGAATAAATATGGTCAGCATAGGGTAAGAGAGAGAGAGAGATAATATTGTGATTACAAATGGGAAATTATGTAATACCTAAAATAATTAGGTCAAATATAGTAGATTCAGGGGTGGGTGGAGCAATCTTTTGAAATAATCTATCGTGTCAACAGCAGTCTACCTAATTCCGTCAGACTGCAAATCCTACAGATGGCTGAAGCAATTGCTATTCGGATCAAAAAGCCAAAGGTTTGTATCCAAAAGAAGTATGTTCAGCCACACCTTTTACCCTGGCCAACTAGCTAATAACCAATCTTATAATGTGGTGACGTAATCTGATTAATGTTCATTTTATGTTCCAAACTTATTATTATTATTACTGTTATTATTACCATTATTATTATTATTATTACTATTATTGTCTTAACACTTGATAACCCCTTTTAGAGGAATTTATTCAATATCCACCCCTGAATCTACTATATTTGACCTAATTATTTTACATATTACGTAATTTCCCATTTGTAATCACAATATTATCTCTCTCTCACACCCCATGTTGACCATATTTATTCTGATAATTTATCTTACAATTTCACCTGTTTACTATCGTCGGCTGGACCCAAGTAAACTGATTGACTAATGTAGTTTACCTACCCATTCATTCCGTGTTTCATATATATGTTAATATTCTACATTGCATTCGATAATTCACAGGGCGGCTCCTTGGTTTGGATGATGGAGAAATTCATGGGCCGTAGTGCGTTTCAAAACGGTGTGAAAGTACGTTGACAGTGGTTATTTTGTTGTAACTGAGTGTCATATAATCTAGTCTCAACGGTCACATTCAATGTTGAACTGATTTCTTTTGTTTGACTAAGTATTTTAGAAGTTTTCTTCGAGACTTTCCAATACACAGAGTCCTCATATCATTTGCTTAACTATGACTCAGTACGACGTAACATAACACAACACAGTATCGATTGATCACTACAGTCTTCAACACAAGTACTCCTTGAAACACTATAACACGTTTTTATCAACAGGCACTCTACCTAATAAAAAGCCTAAACTCGTATGTCGTTAAGAACAAATGAAAAATGCTTTTAAAATTCAATGTTGTCTGACCAACTCATAAGCCATATTCACTATGGCTAAATCAGTGGGATATTTTATATCATGTCGGTGTAAATATCATTACAAACAAATTATGTTAAACAGACTCACCGTTAAAATTGATAGATTATACATTGACGTTATATCCCACCTAAGCAAGTACAGTTTATCCGTTATCTTCTGTCATCAGTTGCATTGACGTGGTTGAAAATGTATGAATATAAACGCAGTTTGGAAAATATAAAGTCTGGCTAGAAGGTTTAAATTCTATGATTTTATTCATGATTGATTGCAAATTGTAATCCTGAAACGCCTCATTTAATGTGTTTTTCTGTATTTATTAAAGAGATATTTAATTCAAAACCAATATAAGAACACAGATGAAAAGGATTTATGGAAGGCATTATCTGAAGTAAGTATTTGGTGGTGAATACATTAATACGAATGCATTTGATGCGATACATTCTGTTGTTGAATTTGTTTCATGATTTCTGCTGATCGTGATGTATTTTTTCGTTAACGAAGATAAGTGTCGTCTTAAAATATATTTTAAATTAATCATATATTTATGGTATGATCTAATGAATAATTTCGTGTTTCATATCTTTATGTATTACCTGTTCTTTAACACTGTTCTTATTTATTCTTTGTTTTTATTCTGTAAAACGCTAAGCTCTATGGTAGCGGTAGTTGAGGTTTCCTCGATTGAGTCGTTTCATCGAAATTAACTAGGTTGTAATTACAATGATAAAATCCTAATAATTCTTTTTCTGTTTTTGACATCCATGGCCACATACCACGCTTCATCATGCTGCATTAAATTATTCATCCACCTATAACATTCCCAATAGATGAATTTATGGTGCATGGTCTTGAAAAACGAGTTAATTCCAGTGTATTTCATTTCACAGAGTTATATCGACCACAATTCTCGATTATACAAACATGCTAACTTTTGCGATTCTTCAGAATTATTATTCAAAAGTATAAGGCTAATAACCTAATCATAACTTCCTTTTAATTGCATATCAGGAATGGAATACTCAAGGAAATCATTTAGACATTGGATTTATTATGGATTATTGGACTAAACAAAGGAATTATCCACTAGTGATTGTAAAGAGAAATGGTTCAAATGTGTTTTGTTTTGAGCAGAAGCGTTACTTTCACCATTATGGTAACGAGTCATCTCAAACAAATCGTGAGTAAGTGAACTATGTATTAATTTAGACAACATCCGTATTCAGAGATTATATATGAAGAAAAGTAGACTTGTAATGTATGCAATGTTTGTTATTGTGTTGAGTGCCAGTGATGTCGAAGGATATATGTAGTGTGTATCATAAAGTGAAAGTGAAATGCCTGGCGACTGAATGTTCAACAGATCGAAGAGAAGAGAAGGAGAACGGAGAATGATTAGTGTGGGAACGATGGAACAATCAAGTTCCAGATGACTGATTGAAATTTTGCAAATTAACTATTCACTTTATGATTCTCAATAGATTATCAATGGGTTTCCTAATATCATGTCCATTCTTCAATTTAAATGACGAAAGAAATTTAACTCATTGTGATTTTCAACCAACATACCTTCCGTCTCTTACTTAGTGCACTATTTGTTTAGTTTTCCGATGTGATGTTTCACTTGATATAACACTAATTTATTTGAATGTGCTCTTCATTCAAGATACGGTATACTAGTAATGAAATTAAACGACCTTTGCTCAGCATGACCTGCAGTATGTGATTAGTTAAAATTCTGGATATTTTTCATACATGTGATTTTATTCCAATCAGTAATCAATATGGGTGTACGATCAATATATGATGAGTGTACTTTCTACTAGGATCGCGATTGTATTTTTGGGATCAATAATCGTTAACTTCGTCATTCTCAGTGTTTTCAATTCGCGCCATGGGAATTGCAGTGGCCTCTCGTTTTGTCAAGCATTAAGTGACCCAGAAATAAAGGTTGTTGACGTGGATTTTGAAAATGTGAAAGACATAACAATTGCCAACGTAGTCAATCTACACGTTTCGGTTTTTCAATGTAACTGTTTGGTTCCAGTAATAACTCGGTTTACTGTACAACTTTCCACCAAAACCTGTTTTTCTGTTATAAATATACTTCCTTATCTCCATTCACCAAGTCACCATCATAGGAGAAGCGGACATATCACCGATCACAACGGGTTTGCTTACAACTTCAAGATACTGGATTACACCATCATTTCAAACACATAAATATTGTTTCTATTCCATGTCAGTTGTCAAATTATTGTATCTGTTAAACTTTGTCTGGCAAAAAGCGTTATTGAACGGGATTCATCAACATCCACACGAGTTATTAACATTTGGTGTACCACTGCCTAACGGCCAAACTAAAATGTTTCCTTTATTATGTCAAACATGATTTATAGGTTTAATATCCACAAAACCCCTTCTCATACAATGTATGCCGTTGAAACATATGTAGGTTTAAATTGAAATCATAATATAGAAAACGAGTGCATTGGGTCACCTCTATTATACTATATGCGATTTCATTCTAAGTAACTGACAAAACGGCGACTACCCTTTTTGCAAACCGAATACGATCATCTTCAAAGTATCAATATTCACTTCGCAGCAGTAGGACCTGAAAATATACCAGCTGAAACATCGAAATCAGACATAAAAGTAACTGCAAATATGCTTCACGTTCTATTCATGAAAATCAGAGAGAAAGAACAATTGCTACCGACAAACTGGAAAATAAGAATAGCACATCAAGATACAAAAGATAGGAGGTCTGAGAAAGCGTAAGACTTACAGAGGGATCTTATTCTTGCCGGTACTAGATTTATTGTAGAACATAGTGTTGCTAGACTGATGGAAGTTTCAGTAGAAGCCCAACTTCAAGATCAACACATTGGATTCTGTAAAGATCGGTCGTGCACTCCACCACAAGTATTTGCAAATAACTATCTACACAAGATACAAAATATCCGGTAACTAGATACCAACAGCAACAGTCTACTGTGAAAGACAAAAATCCAGCTTTCAAATAAAGAGGAAATTAGAAAAAGACGTTGGAAATGAATGGAAAATACATTGTGGAAATCATCAAATTTCATCACGAGGCAGGTGCTAGTTCGGAATCCTGAATAAAAACGGAAAAATGAGAGACAACATATTAGACTGAGTCAAGAATCATAAGCAGATATGAAAAAGATGTAAGGGAGATGGAATGAATTGTAGTGGATGGTCCATGACAGAGTTGGATGGAGAATTCCGGTAGTCAGTCTGTGCTCCTCCACAAGGTGGGGTAACAAGGGTAAGGGAAGAAATATTTAGTGGTGGATTGGGCCAACAAACAATCTTTTGTATTTATGTTTGGAATCCAACTATACCTCTATCGATCAACCAGCATTATCAAGTGTTTTGTTATGGCACTCTATCAAAGTTCCTGTTTTTATATATAATATTTATAGTTTGATAGCTTTTAATGTTCATTATTATGTGTTTTGCTTCTTTCAGACACCCCTGGATAATACCAATCACCTATGGGTCAGCACAAACGGTGAACTGGACAAATGTTGACATTGTGTGGATGGTGAACAGTAAGAAATACCATTTTTCTTTTTCATCAGTATAATTACTACGCTATACGCTACACATACCTGTACACACTTTGCGTCACGTTCTGAAGCTAGACGGTCGAGTTGACGAGCCGTTTTCGATAAAGAGAAACGGTTGACTTATCCAACAAGTGTAGCACTAATTTGTTCTGGGGCGTGTTTGGCGCCTCATATAGAAGAAAACGTCCTACCACCCCTCAAATTCTAAACAGATGAAGTAAAATTAATGATAAAATACCACGCTCCTATTCAGCTTTAACTGTTTATTCTCATTCATACGTATCTGCCAATATTGTAATGTTAATGAATTATTTCATTATTCCTCGCTTCCATAAGACACAATGAATCAAACAATGGACGTAAACTCAGACGACTGGTATTTGGTGAATGTAAAACAAGGTGGATTTTATCGAGTTCACTACTCTGACAATAACTGGATCTTATTAATCAACCAATTGCAAAAGAACTTCACGGTTTGTTCAAAACAATTGTGTTTCTCCCTGTTATAAATAACTATTCTATCAAATACTTTAAGTATAACCTTGTAAATAACATAAAAGGCTTTATATATGCATCATTATGAGGATAAATGTTGTAGAAAGTGATAAACAATTCAGGATATTCTAATATGAACCAGTGGGAATGGATCTCCATTCATTGTGAATATCCAACCACAATCATTGACTTAAAATTTATTCATATGTCGCACACTAACTTTTACGTCAGACGGTATGACCATTTACCAATTGAACATGTGAAACTACATGTTAAATAACGTTTTGTCATTTAAGATAGATATTTACTAACGTATTTATTTATCCGCTTACTTTCTGAATTACATGTTCACCTACCTAGCTACTCACTTATTTACGTACTTTCCTGTATACTTATGCAATTACTTACTAAATATTTGTCGCCTGATCATCTTCACAACAACAAACTATTATATTCGAGCCTCTTTCCAAATTTTTGCGAATAGCTTCTCACTCTTTCGATGTATAGTGGCTGTTATTCGATAGAATCCTTGAACATTGTAAATAGTTCGGCCTGATAACGGTTGCTAGATAAAGTCCCATACGGTTTATAAATTGGAAGACGAGTAGCAATTCCTGATTGTGTTTTCCTTTGCACGACGTACATATTATCAAAACTACAGATACGCGAAACAAGAATTTAAGGCTAATACCGAAAAGCAAGTGAGCGAGTGGACATTCCAGTCAAAATTAATAGTTTTGAAATGTTTTTGAGATGGTGGAGAAGATTTGAAATGTTTCTATACACACATACTGAAATGAACGAATCTCTATTCAATGAAACGACTAATAGTTAGGCTGGCAGAATAAATATATGGGTACAATGGTACAATGAAATAGATAGGCTGTTATTGTACGAATGACTCTGCTCGGTAAATGGGCCAACCAAATTAAATGTGAACAAACTTAATCGCACGCGAGCTACTATAATAGCTCCAACTAAATATGCCAAGAGCGCCTGTATTTGTGAAGGAAAAATACTAAATTTAACTGGATGATGAATATCCAAACTTCCGAAAGTAAGACGTATGATAGAACTATCCTATAGGATATTGCAAATACGTGTGAGCTTGACATCGTATACGTCCGTGAGACCAGATAAAGTGATAATGGAAGATCAGGATAATACAGTGGTGCTTATAGACGTTCATTTACATTGACATCCGAATGTAAAATAATATGTAGAACAAAAGAATTGATAAGTCAAAATTTTTGATGTGTACATACAAAACGAAGAGGAAAAGAAAAAATTCACATATGATGAGGTGAAAGAAACTATTTATTCGTAGCTATAGACCTTTGTGAACAACGCACTCTCCGACCATAACTTGTGGTCACCGGACACTTCTCTTATCGCTGCATTAGCGTCGTTGATTCTCGTTTCTCGTTGGCGTGACCATCTTCGAAGGTTTTGCATTTGTTGATTGAAAATCACTATCTATGAAAGCTGGTTTCACTCGATCGATGATGATTCCATCTGTCTTGCCAGCTTTTTCTATGGTAACTGTCTCGTCTGTCCTCGTAATCAATTTGAATGGACCGTCGTATTTCGATTGCAGAGGTGGATGTACATTATCTCTTCTAATAATACGTGAGTATTATTATGCAGTCGCTGCGGTATGAACACTCGTCTTTGTTGTAGTCTGTGAAGTGTTATTTTTGCTCGTTCATGTGCTTCTTCAGACGTTGCACGGGATTGGCTACACCTGTCGGAACACTATTTCCTGAAGCGAAAAATTCTCCAGGTAAACTTGGAGTAGTTCAATATACCAACTCAGTTGAACATCATATGTCCTGTTTAATTGTTGTTCTTAGACTCAACATTACTAGAGGAAGCTTATTAGCTCAATCGTTGTTGACAATGACAGATGTAAAGAGCACTTTCGACTGCCTATGCGGGTATTCAACCATTCCGTTTGCCATTGGATGATAGTATGTCGTTCGAATACGTTTAATTATGTGGTGTTTAAGGTGCTGGAAGAGTCGACTTTCGAATCGGACTTCTCTATCGGTTGTGATAATCGCTGGTACGCCATATTGAGAGATGCAATTCTCCACTAGGGCTTTGGTTACAGACTCAACTGAGGTTCCATTTATCGGTACCACTACAGGGCATTGTGGAAATCTATGATGATGCAACTGCCTAATCTCTAAGGACTTGTGTGGAAGTCACAACCTTGTCTACACTGACTCATCGTATGGTAACGATTACCAATATATGATGAAGAACACATTTAGCCTAGAAATAGAAAAACATATTTAGTATGAAGAAAAGTTATATGACAACACCAAACGATGACCACGCCTGCCAGGCCGAGCTGGATGGAATGTTTGAGACCCACTTTATTTCGCGTTACTTTCACGAGTTTGATAATCTCCTCTTACAATAATTCACATGGATCAATGCGGCTTTTATCAGGGAAACGGATTTCACGTTTCTCTTGTCGAAGTCGTGTGACTACCGTTTACAAGTCTGTGAGGCTGAGAGACCACTAGCAGATCGCAGGTACACAAAACATCTGTGTCTATTTTGGGAACTGATTCACCTGCTACGAAATCGTCCCAGCTGTACGAAGCGCCTCGTCCAAAATCTAGGGACAACTTTCGTCCGTCGTATGCTCACCGCTCTTAGCACTAGTAACATAATAACGTTTTTTCATCTTCGCTTACTACTCTGATTTCCGCTACCGTATCTGCTACGAACTGAACGCCGGCTTCTCTGTCCTAGACGAAAACGATTGTTTCTACGATCTATGTTAATTATCGCAGGCGCCACCAATAACCAGTATGATCGTTTAAATTTGCTTTGTGATACACAGTTTATAGTATGTTTGAAGGAAACAGCATGCGGTAGGAGCTGAGTGTCTCCTTGTGCATGAGAGGCTTCTATCTCTCGGTCTACCTTGCGGCCACATTCTCTGCCTGTTGTTCTGATAAAAGGCTCGTCAGTTTGTGGCATAGAAAACTGTTCCCTTCTTGTAACGCATAGATTCTTTAGTCTGCTGTGGAATTATACCTTTGTAGACTTGAGTGTCTAGCTCTCTCATAAATAACGTTTGCAAAATTATGCAAGTGCATTCAAAATAACGGTATAATAAATCGGAAATTTTGAATGGAAGACTGCCTATGAACACATATACTTTTTGATGATGGTTGCCGTAGTTCTCCGATTTTCAGCTCAGTACAATAGAACTGCCTTGATGCTTGTATTGAAGATTCTGAATTTGATGTTCGCTGACAGTTGTTTTAAAACTCAAGTGTGTGCAACTCTAAGAATAGTGCCTTCACCGTGCCAATCCTTGCCTCTGCATCACATCTCTCTAGTTGGTCGATCATAATTCCCAGATACCTGAATGTTTCCACACCTTCCAGAGCTTCTTTAACGAGTGATATTCGGTCCATTTTCATCATGTTTCAGGTGTGGGTTTTCATTTTTCCCTTGTGAATGTTGAGGCCTATAGCTGTGGAGGCTGCTGATACACTGTCTGTCTTCACTTGGATTTGTTGATGAAATTGATACGGAAGAGTTAGACTATCAAAATATTTCAAAATATTTAGGTGCATTGGAGCTATCCTTTTTGTTCTGTGCTTCTCCTGTGACGTGAAAGTCATCACAATTCAGTGGCTGAGCACCTGACCCGTTGGATGTATTGGTTTTACGACTGTTTGAAGTTTCGCTTCTTAGTTGTCTAATTTCTTGGAGTGGATCTTGTAAGACGTGGAGATTGCTGCTGAGATCTATCTTGAATTCTATGAGTTTGTCATTATTTCCAAGAAACGCTGTAATATTATGAATACGAATATATATATATATATATAGATATAGATATAGATATAGATATATATAATTATTTCATCTTATTAACTCGAGAAAATACCAAATGCGCAGACGTTCAGTGGTAGAATTACAAATTGATTGGAAGCATTAGATTCCATGCCATCTTCACAGCAGATCAGACATATATGGAAGTTTTATTTGAATAAGAGCGTTTAGTGACATGAATAAGTACAAAATAATTAGAAAGGTTACAAATGCACGCTTTGTTGCCACATATTTGTTTAGCTTTATGTCAGTCCTCAAATCGGCTTGTAAAAGCTTCGATGTGCGCGTTAGGTGAGTGATATGTGACTGCCAAATACGACGATTTAACATCACAATAAATCAAATTCTCTTCAAGGATATTAATCCGTGATTTTAGCTCTACACTTCGTATCGCACACTAAGATATGATTTGTTTGAAATCACATTCATTTTATAGATTGCATTTACATTGTGATTCGATGTTCTACAAGGCATTTCAATTTTTATCTGATTTCTTTATGTCTAGGCTATTCCAGTTTTCTCACGCGCACGAATATTGAATGATTTATTCAGTCTTGCAAAGTAAGTGTGAAGTGGAATGAAACCAATTTTTTGGATGATATTTATTCTGTTACAAAATATCAGGTTAGTTAATTACTTTTATTGCAAATACCAATTAAAAACACGGAAAATTTGTGGAAAATAATCAAGATGTATAAACAATGAGTATTTGACAACGTATGTCATCTGATCGTAGCGGAAATGCTTTGTAGAACCTGGAGATTCTCAGTGATATCCGCCCAAGATCGGAGACCGATCCTTTCAGAAATGCGAACTAGCACAACAGTTTACAAAAGAAGCAAATTAGTTTGGAAAACGAATAGTTGGCTGGATTAAAAATATATGCAGTGGGTTGAACTGAAATCGGTGTACACATAGATTTAATGAATACTGAAACAGATCAAATTGGGGTAAAAGAAGACGTTTATCTGAACTGGTGTATCAATTATAACCAGCTATTATGTAAACCCTACTATAATAACATGATAGATTAGTATCATCTCAAAGAGTAAACATACTCTGTACGCTACATTGTTGAAAACGTCTGTTAACACTCATTTAATATTGATTGAAAATATAACATGTCGCGTGGAGTAATTACACCGACATATAAACGAATAATACTCTTCTCAATAAATTCTCTTCATGTTCTGCAATCACATACCCAAACTAGTAGTCCGAAAAGTATGAAGATACTTCATCAAAGGAGATTTTCATTTCAACAGTATCATTTTCGGGAGCTGTGCAATCGTATTTATAGTTAATTTTTACATGTAATATTCTACGGTAAATTTCTATGCCCTCAGGTGTTAACAATTTACTTACTAAAGTCATTTGAGCCTAATATTTTTACTCTGAGATTACCTCACAAATGTCTCTTTTGTTTTGCTTTGGCCTCCTTGTCAGTCAACATATCGTACCGTATACGCTTTTCCTGAACGCGACAAAATATTTAAACCGCGAAGATGAGTTTATTGTATGGATAACGGCTAGTCGAGCGCTGCTCTACATTAATAGCATGTTTGCTCTGAATGAGAATTATGATGTTTTCCAAGCCTACTTGCAAGCTCTTATACATAACCGAATTCGATCAGCAAGTCGGTCATTTGTTAGTACAGGTGAAGATCCTCAAAAGATGTGGGTAATGATATTTCTATTTCGTATGTCTTTACTCTGTCATATCAGTCAATCTCTCAGTTTTATCTCGGAAAACTTTTATTCCGAAACAACCTACATGGAAGATATTTAATATGAAATGATGAACTTAGCAGTATTGTTGACGGGACTGCTAGTCTAAGCCAACAATTTTTGATGAACAGATGAAAGTAACGGTTTCCGAGAGGAGTGACATTCTTCTACAAGGGGTTGGAATATCTGGACCATAATAATGAGCTGGAACTGAATGATTGTAAGGATCTAATGATAAGTGATTGGTTAAGTAGCACTTCAAATTGTGCGTTCCTTTAATTAGAAACACACTTTTATTGCCCGATTCAACTCGATAATTGACTGTAAATGGGGCATCGTTGTAATATGATTGCTTGAATTCCATCCATTATAAACGGTTCTAATCGGGTACTCAAAGTTGTACTTTTTCATTTCAATTTTTTATAGTGGAAACTCAGACAGTGAAACTGTCTTGTGAGAACTCCCGTAACTTAAGAAATAAAGGCCACATAAATTATATTTGAGTACCAAATTATGCTATCGTTTGTCAATTGGTTTTAAGATGAATCGTATTATCAAGTATCTTCGTTATCACTTAGAAACGCGAATTAATTTGTTCCGTTATGTCTAGTTATTTCTAGTTACACCAATGATTATCTTACCTCAAAACTAATAGCCTTGAAACATTGACAGAGGGAAAATTAATTTCCTTCGGACTATTTCAATGAATAATGTTAATGTATCTTTTAAGCTGGTGAAAATCCTGATATGTGGTAAAACATATGGATATATCATAGTAGTAAGATATCGTGAACGGTTACAGCTTGCCGTTAAAATGAGATGAAAAATTTATATCATCAAAAACTGCAGAAATCACCAGCTCGTCAATGCTGTGCCAACTGATGAGTTTAATGACATTCAATTTTTCGTGAAGTGATAACAGAAGAGGTTTCGGGATAACGCAATATGTAGAAATATTGTTAAGGTGAATACATTGCGTTTCAGCTACAGAATCGCAGCAATCTTCGAATCCATAAGACAAACTGATCTAATCTAAACATCTTCAGGCATATCCATGAAATTTTTTCCCCGTCAACTAATGATAAACGCACTGGTGTAAAAGAAGAAAGTATGTAAACGTTTATATTTATTAAGTTATAACTTAAATATTCTTACACCGTTTGCTCGATTTTAGACGTTTTGACTATAATGTGATCAAACTCGCTTGTATAGCTGAACATCAACTTTGTGTGAACAAAACTACGGATCTCTTCAGACAGTGGATGTCGAAACCCGAAACGAACCCGTTAGTCATGCAATTAATGATTGTTATATGATAAAACAGACTACCGTATAATAAGCCTTTATATTATTTTTAATGTTATTTGAAATAATTCTTAAAACGCAGCTTGAATTAGATTGTGTGATCAGTTTTTTGTTGCTGAGGTCAGGCACGAATGCACGAATAGTTTGTCAATGTTATGGTTTCCTAAGTGTAAAGAACTAATAAGTGAGTAAGCGTAGTGAGATAGCTGTAAAATTGATGTATATAGTAGACGGGTGATGTGTTACCTGGGTTTGTCGATCAGTCGATATTAACTTTCTTGTGTGAATAAAAGATCTTCATTTATGAGAAATCTTCGAAACAACTTTTGGTTGGATAGTTCTACACTGTTCCGAACAACAGATTTTAGTTTGCGTTCGATATGTTAAAATGAGTATTGTTATTGACGCCATGTGCATAAGATAAACTTATCATGAAAATATATTCACGACTTCTGATTCTCATGAAAAATATATATATATATATATATATATAACTGATTTGGAGAATGGAAGACTTTTGACCAGTTATGAGACACCGATGAGGAATTGTTTTATAAATTACTTATACACTTCCATCCGTTACCCCTCACGAAAGCGTAGGCTGACAAATAGGATTCTCCAAACTATTCGATCTTATCTTCCTTTCCAATCATTGCTGATCGCTTCTCATTCCTTCGAAATATGCCTCGAATTCTCGACGCAGCGTGTTCTTTGGTCTTCCTCTGTACATCTTGCCTTCTGGATTCGGAGTGATTCACTCGAGATTCAGTCTGATGGTATAGACAACGCTTGTTGTACTCACATCCAACGTCTTGTCCTGCTTTCATATTCATATACAAGTTGGCTTGTTCTCTTTTATAGTGTGTCGCTGTTTATGGCATCCGGTCAACTGATATTGAGTGTCTTGTGCAGACAACTGTTTATGAAAACATTTATTTTTTGATGATGGTTATGACAGTTCTGCGACTTTCAGCCTAGTACACTACAACGGTTTCAATGTCTGTATTGACGATCCTGAATTTATGTTGGCTGACAGTTATTTTGATACTTATATGCTTTCAGATGTAATAGTAGTGCTGTTATTTTCCTGATCCTCTCCTCTGCATCTGCGTTACATCTTCCTGGTTACTCGATTATAATTCCCAGATAAGCGGTTGTTTCAACCCCTCCCAAAACTACTCTGTCAAGTTTGATTTGGTTGGTTTCAGTTTAAGATCTTGCTTTTTCCTTTGTGAATGTTAAGGTCTAACGTTTAAGTGGCTGCTGCTACACTGATTGTCTTCACCCGAAGTTGTTGGTGTGTGATCTAGGAGAGCTGAATCATCTACCAGATTCGAAATATCTAAGTGAGTCGAAGCTGTTAGATGTATTCCCCGCTTCACCTGAGATATGGTTGTTGTCACAAATCAATTGACGCGGATAAGCAGCCTCATTTGATTCCGATCTTTGCTTGCCATTGATCTGTTGTCTGTCTTCCATGCGTGAAATTTCATTGCGTCTTCTTTTTCAAATAAATGTAAACAATACTTGACATTCGCATCCCTTACACGCATATAGTCATAAATCTCTAGAAATAGTTTCATTTCAATAACACAATGAGAAAACGGAGTTGATCTGAAAAATATGATGTATTAGCGCTATACATTTGGAACAATCTGGTCACACATATACTTGTAAGGACATTTTTATATGAAAATTAATAAAGGTCAAACAAATAAAAGTACAATTAAAATAACTAAGGAGAGAGAAGGAATAAGAAATTGTCGCGTTATCCTAGGCCATAGAAAGAGGCACTTAACCAGACCTCTCTTGTATTGCCTCATTAAGAGGACTCGAAGAATATGTACCTCTGACATCGTGGAAAAAGATGAAAAGTTACTGACTGACACATTAATAGCAAATGGTTATCCACTCAAGTTTATTAATAGGTGCAAAAGTCAGTTAATGCCAAGACCTCTAATTTATTCAGTGCCAAAGAAAAAAGTTTATGTCAATCTACCATAGAGAGGCGAATCTAACAGTATAGTCTTAAGGCAGAGATTGAAAGCAGCCATCGAGAATACGTACTTTGCTTCTCAGTTGGTAGTGATTGAAAAGTCTAAGGTCATGATTCCTAATAGATCCAAACAATGCACTAATGATTACGTCACATCCCATTGTATTTACCAATTTACATGTTTGTGTGGACACACATACATAGGGAGGAGTAATCGAACAATGCAATCAAGGGTCAATGAACATGTGCCTAGATGACCTCAAAATCAATGTATGTCAAATGATCTGATCAATGTAGGAGGTAGAAAACCAAGCTCATGGATAGCAAAACATATAATTGAGACAGGGCACAAAATTAACATTAATACAGCATTTAGTAAGTTGTATAGAAATTGCCAAGGTCGAATTCTTAAGTTTATCGAAGCCTTGGCTATTTGTAAATTTAAACCCCCCTTATGTGTACAAAAACAATTTGTCGTGACCTCGAATTTACCTTGGTAATCCTTAAGTCATTCTATGGCCTGGGATAACGCGACAATTTCTTATTCTTTCTCTCCCCTTAGTTATTTTAATTGTACATTTATTTGTTTGACCTTTATTAATTTTCATATAAAAATGCCCTTACAAGTATATGTGTGACCAGATTGTTCCAAATGTATAGCGCTAATACATCATATTTTTCAGATCAACTCCGTCTTCTCATTGTTCTATCGAAATTTATAAAAGGGACTGATTGCCTTAAATTTCATTTCAATCGAATGAAAGTAAAGTTCTCGTTCACATTTCTTTTGTTTTACAGCATACGACCTGATTTGAGATTCATTACTTATTGTACAGCTATTCGTCATGGTGGTCAACAAGAATGGAAATTTTTAGAAAGTCAGCTGACGTTGAACGATTCTGTAAATGAGGAAGAGACTGAAAACAAGATGTTGGCATTAACGTGTTCTCGTGATACAGAAATTATGAAAGAGTAAGTTAAACTGTTACCTTCAATATTGCACTGTTGATAACAGTAACCCGACTAGATGTTTGGAATCCCCACTACTATCAGCAAATGAGTATGTTCGCATAATCTAAATCCGTTTGTTATAATCGAAGATTTCACAAAATGTGCATGATAATTTCTAAAATTATATGTAACAATGTCTATAATTGAACAATTGTAAAGATATATGTTTTTACTCCTCGAATGACGATTAAACAACCAAACACTGTCAAGCCTAATGAAAGTTCATAACATGAGCTTACATAAACTCCCCTCAAATTTAGTAGAACATGGAACATGTTTTGTAATTTATAGTTGAAAATACTTAAAACTACATCACTCACATTTTTGGAAGGAGTTTGTAAACTACCATCGATTAAACACGACAAATTTGAACCGCCAATTAAAACCCTGGTGGTTTGGATTGTCAACTTCAGTTAATTCGCTTTCATATCATCATGAGCTTAAATTTTACTCCATGCGGATTTACAAGGATCAGTGGAGTTTTCACATATGGATCAACAATTACCTTATGATTATCATCAAGATATAGCACTCAAAAAATCTCAGAGTACACGAATGTCTAAAGTCGACTAGAACCCATCGATTAATACTGAACAAATTTTTCTCAATTCAACGAAAACGTCCATTGACAAACAAAACCGTCATCAATGGGACTGCCAATTTCAAGACTCATTACAAAGTGGTGACGCGATGACCGAAAGTCCCATATCTACAAGAAAAACCATCGACAATGTAGATTCGTCATGTACACGACAGATTCGTCATCGTCCAATAGATCGAGGTTAAAATACATACAAATAAATCAACAACATCTCTGACGCGATACAATTTACCATGTAAAAGAGGAGTAATCGTCGCCAAGACCAAGCATTTTAGCTGCATATCTCATCAGTCATACTGTTGTGTGTGCTACTTATATTTACATAAGTAGTATATGATGTTGATCGTGAGCGGAATGTCTGGCAGCAGAGAGACAAGAGGATCAAACAGTAAAGAATGGAAACAGGGTGTAATTTGCATGAAAATGCAAGAACAATGAATTCTGAGTCATTTTGAGACAATTGCAAATTAAGCATTTACTTTATGATTGCTAGAATTTATTAACAAGTCCTGTAATTTTGTGTTAAATGTATTCGATTGTCCTCACTGGTGTTCTTGTTCACTACATTTGGTGTCGCTGCCAGCTAGGAGGGAAAGGGTGCTGTTCTCCGAAGGCCGATGCGGTTCGTGAGCTGAATTGCTAGTTTGGGCAGTCCGTTGCGGAGAGGTGGCGTCGAGTTGAGTGTTCTGGCATTTACCTTATGATTGCTAGATTTTATTAACAAGTCCTGTAATTTTGTGTTAAATGTATTCGATTGTCCTCACTGGTGTTCTTGTTCACTACGATAATATATTTTTGGCCCTCAAATCCTTTTATTCTACAGATGTAAATGTTCATATGATTAAGTTAGCACACCACAACTACTCAGCTAAACATTTCCTCCATCTTTTCATCAGGTACTTAAGGCGGGTAAGAGAGAACAAGAACTTCTGGTTTACGCTTGACTATTTCTCAGAGTCTCCAGTTGGTAACCAACTTTTATGGGACCACTTGAATGATGTAAATAATTTTGTTGATCATAAGTGAGTTTACATTTCTATTGACAGTGAGGAACCGATGTCATATTAATGTCATGAGGTAGATGGTGCTTGTTGACTTCAGACGTTCGCGTTTTGCTTGTGCAGTAGGATGGTATACATTATATGTAGGAGATAGATTGAATGCCAACGTCTTGGTATGTCAGTCTGTAATCAAGGTGATTTTGAAGACCTTTTTCACTCATGCTTCCACATATGGAAAATTCTTTCGAAAATCTCAACCTTTTCATGAACGTAGTAATTTATTTCATAGAAATGTTTCAACAAATGTTATTTTAATTTGATTAACATGTTAATAGCCAGCTAGTACAAGGACCAATAAATTACATTAAATAACACATTTCATCTTCTTTTTTTTACTCGTATCTACTGTTTTGATGTAAGCAGTCGTTGTGATAAAAATATGCTGACGTGTCCTATTAAACAAGCATAATGTTCGACGTCATCGGTAATACGTAAAGCTGTTCTACAAATTGTATATAAGCATTAAAACGTCTGTGGGAATTGAAAAATTGACAGGCACCTTTGTCGGCTGTTATTATTGCTGTTAGTCAACTGACGTACACTTAGTTCGTATAGTCAGCAGCTGCTTGAAATATATATATATATATATAATGTGATTCTATCAGTTTTGTATTTCTGAATCAATTACCTCATAATTTCTACTTATCTCATCATGATGATTTGCTTAGGTCATTCGTTTATTTCAGAATAGAAATATTTTGATTGTCCAGTTAACGCAACCTCGAACTCAGTCATTAATGGAAACTAACCAAAAGCATTTCGCTTTTTAATTTTACTTCACAGAGACTTTACGAAATTATTAACAAAAACACTAACTGAGTATCCTTACTCAGTGTTTAGTGGAACAAATCATGAAAAGGTTAGTGGAGAGCCTATCTATTTTCCATGAGCTTACACATGTTGCTTTGTTTTGTCCCACATTCACATATACTATCATTCTGTAATTTACTTTTTCGAATGTGATTATCTAGACAATTTTGTTAATGTTTGGTAGCACACACTACATTAATCGTAAACATTTTCAATGAAACTAAACTGAGTAAAAAGAAAACAATAACATGGAGTGGTTGAATGTGGTTTGTAGGGTTCCGTAAATCTAACTTTCGTGTTAGATAGGATTCGTCAAATATGTATTTCTGCAATCTGCGGCCCGAGATATTGTCGCTAAATGATTTGAACTCTAACGCCAAGTGAAAATCAACACGGTGTGAAACTACTCATACCAGTTACTACACTTTAGTATGTTGTCAAAAATGCGATCAATATCAGGAGCCAGATAACAGGAATCATCTTGCTATTCTGATAGGAGTTAGTGGTAATACTTATATGTAATTGTAGAGTGAGAATGATACGATTTAATTGCACAGTACTCGTTTCTTGTTCCATTTCCACACTTAGTTCTGATAATGAATCTTGCGATCATCAAGTGTACGTTTCGTAATTTAAGAGAACTAACTCGACAATTATACAACCTCTAATTTTTCATACACACTGTATTTAAACAAACTCAGTCATGATATATGGCTACAAATATTCTCCGGAAACAAATCACATTTTCTTCAATTGCGTTCTTCACCTGAAACGTCCCTTACAATGTACAATTGAAATTTTAATCTGCAAACCCTCTTTAGCAATTCTAACGTATAAAGGAATATGTGCAGAATCTACGCGAAATTTCCAAAATAGCTGACAACATGTTTTGTAATAAATCAGACGCTTATTATTATGCTTCATAAGTTTATGTACTAGCTCCACATAAAATGTACATAAAATGACTTCTTTATCTTTGTAGATCCATGTAACAGAAGCAAATCATCAGATAGACCCTGAACTTCGAAAGACGATCGACTATTTAATTCAGATATCCAGAGAAAAATTGAAATGGACTGAAAACTATTCTGACATTATTATTCAGTGGTTGAATGAAAATATCCCAGTATTTACCTATTTATCATAGATGATGAAGACCAACCAATTAACCACTCATCAACTATACGAGATGATTCTTTTAACTTCCGTCGTTGTTGTCATTGATACTTTTTATTCTACTAAGCCTTGGGACATTTATATTTTATTCCATATCCACACTAGTACTTTAAATATTTGCTTGTAGTAACTCGTAATAACTTTAGTTGGATATTTATATTTATTTATATAGCACTGATGGTGGAACAATTTTGTTATGGGATTCCATTCTAAATGTTTAATATTCATAATGTGAAGTAAAAAACCTCGAGTATGAACAAAGTTGTCTTTGTTAATCAACGAAATATGGTTCTTTAAAAGTATATGAAAAATGATTCCGATAAATGAGGTCGGATAAAATGGAAATTTGTAATACTGCTAGTGAAATTGATTCACAGACAACCGATTAACGTACAACGATATTCCAATAGTAATATCTGGTGAAGTCTAGTGATGGAAGGACTGCAGTTAAATGTTGAGCTGTGTTAAAAACATCTCGTAAATTTCAAAAATAAAAATGAATAACCATTTCACAATCGAATCGAATAACTTTTTTCTAATCTCAAATTAAACTAAACCATCCAATGAAGTTTCTAACACTTAGTCAATGATGTTGAAGTTCGTCGTCTTCTATCGAATCGCGTCAGTTTCTTGGGCAGTTTTTCATTTGTCTGCTATCCGTTTGCCGATGACGCCGCAGCAATAATCCGGATATATATTGGCAATCATCAATTGACAGTACAAATGCGGAGGATCGGTGATAAATCCATAGATGTTTCTCTATGACACAATCTATGTAGTTTGAAACATATGTTGAGAATCAGACTCCACTCGACAGGCTAAGAAGATAAATTAATCAATTGAAAAACTGATCACAAATGAAATGGAATAAAGTCATTTCTAATATTTATTATTCCTGATGGTGTAGAAAAGCGGAAAGTCGGTACACCTGAAGAACCATTCGACAAGTTTTCCAGAGGCCAGAAAGAGGATGGGAATATTTCAAACTATCTGAAATCAGTACGTGGACTTCTAGGAAATTGACTGGCTATGTCGTTAACTCTAAATATATGAATACTTACTTTCCGTCTTAAGTAGTGTGTTTTCAAAAGCTTCCAAACTTCAATGATAGCCAACAGACCTATAAGTATGCCCATATTTTTAGATGACTGAGATGATGTTTATCTCAGGTGGATGCTGTTAGTAGGGATTGGTTCTCTGACTAGAACGACTCTATTGTGAAGTTTTTATTGTTCATCTGGACAACAACAACACAAACGTCAGGTAGAAGTAAGGTATTCGAATTTTTCCACATATGGTTGACAGCTTAACTGGACACTGTTGAACTGCAACCACAATGATGCTGTATGTCTAGAAATTCTAGTAATGGTACAATTCTGGTGCGGTTGCTGGATTCCATAAGACTCAATTGTGCTCAGACCAAATCGCGACACTGTGAACCATCGTTGCACAATCAACTGAATGGAAGGCGTCGCTATGCACCAATGTGCGTGATTATGAAAAGGCTTTCAGTAGCAACGAATAGATAACCTTGTGGAACTTATTTAGACACTGTAGTTCGCCGAAGAAAACCGTCAACATCATTGGAAATGTATGTGATGAACTACACTGCAAAGTGGTTCACGGTGGACGACTCACAGATCCATTTCGAGTGACGAATGTTGTCTGACAAGGCTGATTACTCTTTTCCTTTCCTCTTTCTTTTGGAGGTTGACTGGATTACGAAGACCTCTACATGAGAGGAGAAGCAAGATGAAAAAATTCGATTCAGTATGATGATCTGGACTTTAAAAATGACCTCGCTAATCTATCCCACACGCACCACATTCCTACAGTTGAAGAACATATAGAAATTAAAATAGATATCTGTAAGCCAACATCAAATTCATAATCTTCACAAAACATTTTAAAACAATTCTACCATACGGAGCTGAGACTTGAAGAACTAATGCAACAATTAATAAAAAGTAAAGGTGTTTATATGCAATTGTTTATATATGATACTCAACGTCCGTTAAATGGATAACATCAGCAACAAATCTGCTTCCAAATGAAGAGTAAATTAATAAAAGACGTTGGGAATGGATAGGAGACACATTTTGTAAATCATCAGACCACATATTTAAGCAAGCCTTGACTTAAAATCCTTAATGTAAACGCAAAAGATAAAGACCGAGCCACACTTGGAGTCGGGAATTACAAGCAGAAGGCAAAAGTGTGAATGGCAACTGGAAACAGCTGGACGGAATCGCCTAGGATAGAGTTGGATGAAGAACGCTGGTGAGCAGTTTATGCTTCCACACGAAGTGAGGTGACAATCGTAAGTTAGTTGGTTCACGATCAAAATCTAGAGTTTCGCATGCATTTTGTGCATTCCCATTCAAATTAGATGAGTATGTTACGTTATCTTCAAACACGTCATGTATCATTTATGTCCATAGAAGATATTACCACCGAAGGATCTGCAACTGACAAATCAATACTAGTTTAAGGTTAACTTCACAGCGATAATATTTTTTGGTTTATAATTATACCACCAAATGCATATTCCTGTATAAAAAATTACACCTAAAAGCCTATCCGTTCATTGAAGAAATAATTCTTGGTAGTCAAGTTCAGGATTTTGTTTTTAGAGTATTACTTTTTAAAAGAGATCTCAGAACATATTTTCAATTACGGAATTCTATAAATTAAAGGTTGTCCTGGCTTCATCGCTAAGGTTAAACCTTGATGAGAAAAAAAGGAACTTCTGTAAAACGTAATCAACAAATAAACGAAGAATCTACGATACCATTGTAGTTAAAGAATTCGATGAGTTTCTATCACACATAATAATCAGTAGATTAACATGAATCCCACCTTTACTGACTGCTCGTCTCCTCTTTAGTTGTTAAAATCATCATAAAAGAATTACGAAATGTTCGCGTTTCGCAACCTAAGTGACATCAAATTCATGCTAATGAGGTCAGTCTACCATGTGCATAAAACTTGATGCTGAGTGAAAACATGGTTTTATTTCTAACATGTGAACTACATATTAGTTTCAAAACGTCTTTACTGCTGCACTGGTTACTTTCTGTGGAAGGGATTCTAGAAACACTATTAATGTAATATAAGAAAATAAACTATGTGTAGAACAGATCATTTATGCATGTAATCATACATCTTTAAACAGATTATGCTTATTTATTACTAATTCAGGTAGTTTTGTTTATTTAAATAGTATTTTTTTAAAACGAATCGACCGAAAATGTCCTTTTCAGACCCGAAAAATTTTCTGTTCAATCGTCAAAGTGGTATTTGGATGGGGCTTCTGAAATTTACTTTCGTCATCTTATTCACGTAATCCCAGGATTTCTTATACTAGACTTTTTCGTGATTTAGGTATTCAAAAATCACCATTTTGTCGAGGTATCTGAGTGCTGAAGGGCTACTCAACCTACATTTATCGTTCAGATGAAATATAAATAAAGTGAATACGAAACAGTAATCGTTTAGCACATTCAGAAATTTCATCAGTTTATAACCGATCGGAGTTACTAGTTGACAATTCAGATTTGAATTGTTAAATCTCAGTATTCAATCAAAGTCAAGTAATATCTAGTTCACAAAACGTATGAACTCGGTTTGAACTTACCGCCCTACACAAATTTGCTGTTCTTAGTTGACAGTTGATTTCGCATAGTTCATATATCATAGACTTGTGTTAGTACGGAATTATTCATTGACCGTTTTTGGTTGTGGATGAGATAAGAATAAATGTGACACAACAGTTGGTTGTCTTTTTTGAAAGTCAGACGTTATAATAAAGTTAAGATTTCAAAGGGTCATTTTATTATGTATTTATTCATTTGAACGCGTAAATATTCGTACAACAAGGCACCAATCACATATGTATCACACAGTAACATGGAAGTTTTGAAGAGATCGAGAACAGAGATTGAGTAGCGAAAAAGAGAGGGGGAACGAAGACAAATTAGTCTCTGAGAGTGAAATAATAATTCTAATAAGAGAAGAAATTCAGAAATATTACTTTCAGTTAAAAAGGTTAAGGTCTTTTTTATGAAGAAAGCGGAGGAAAGTTTCAGTGGGACTGCCACCAGCTTCTACTCTGAGCCATGCCTGATGGCGTCTCATGCCACTGTGTTGCACCAAATGCAGTTCTTTAAACAGGGAGTTGTAAAAGTGTAGCATAGATCCGTCCTGTACAACTTTCTTTCATACCACAAAACCATGCCGTACACTACCATGACCATTATACAAAACTGGAAAATGCTGTCGTGGCTGCATTGATAATAAGATTAATTACATAATGTTAATTTATAATTTTTCGTAAGAAGGAAGTGGTCACTACTGAGATGACAGGTAACAAGAAACATGAAATTATTACTTGCATGGGTAGCAGTCATCAGTTGGTCTTTCAAATATTTCATTTAAGTAGCTAACAACTAATCTTGTAGAATCTTTCGTTTTGCATCATGAGGTTTACAGAATGTATAGACAACCTCATCAAACTTTATTCTCGACTTGCTGAAATTCACAAGCGTTTAATTACGTTTAAGAATGGTTGATTTATTCATTAAACTGTACATTACCCGGTCAATTGATAACCAAAATGTTAAAAATGAAGTAAGGAGAAACTGTGATATAAGGCCAATTTATTCAAACGAGTCACGAACCTAACATCTTTTGACTAATTTCTCAGCAATGAAGATTGGATTTATTGTGCAGTTTGATAGAACAGCGTACATTCTGCTGATGAGAAACACGTCTTTGTCTACGATAGACTGCAATCATTTAGTTTATTCGAATACTTATGAAATGAACAGCTAATAAAATTTACTAAACTGACCGGCGAATTCCCTGTTTCGCAACTCTCATGACGTTCCATGAATACATTATTCCTTTATGACATACGTTTGATAAAAAATAAATAGAAACTCTAGTTCACATTATTTTCATGTAGATGTTTTTTTGCATATACTTGATTCTCTTAGTATTAAAAATTATCTAAAATACTTTTACAAAAGTATATCTACTTTAAATTGATGAATTCCATTTAAAAATGAACTAAATTCACCAAAAAGCCAGCTTGAAAATCATCGAATATTTTCTCAAATGGATCCTTATTGATCAACGACATATTGTTCGAATCAGCATTGATGTATTTTCATTGAAAAAACCAAAACAATCATTGAAGTGTTAGAGCATAACTTACCACAAACCTTTCTGTATATCCCTTGAAAATAAGCTATCGAGTACTATGGAAATTCTCAAACACAAACTAGAAACTATTCTCAAATTAAAAAAAAAATGTTAAATTCTGTATGTCCAAATGATTTCCAAATACATATAGAAACAATAGTCTAATTTTAGCCATCCATAAATTAAAGATGATTTTAGAAAAAAAAGCAATGAATTTTCACCAGAATTGTTACTTTCTCAATAATTTTAGTGATAAATTAAATTTCAGTGATTTACAGACTGATTTTTAATGTTTTAAATGGAAGAATATATTGTAAACAACATTCATATGTATATAGACATGCACTTCTAATATTTATACATTTAACCTTGTAATCCATGTGGTTAATTACTAAAATGGAATTGGTTACAATGTATTTTTGGGTAATATTTTCTTTTGTTGTTGTTTATTGTTTATTTGTTTGGGTATAATTTTGAAATCAAATCTGTTACTTTCTCTCTCTCTCTCTCTCTCTGTCTCTCTCTTTCTCTTTCTCATGATAAATTTAACCTGAACCAATGTTTGTTTGTTTTTTTTTCATTGATATTTATTAGTTAACACTATCAGATCTACTCTTGTTAGAATTTTTTTGTTTATTATTTATTTCATAAAATCAAGAAAGAGAAAAAGAGAAAAAAAGGAGAATATATTTAATGGTGTATGTCCTTTTTGCACAGAATATGATTTACATTAAACTGAATGTTATATATATGTGTATTTTTCATTATCGCTTATCCTTATTGAATTCAGTTAATGTAAATTCATTTCATTCGGTTACATTAGTAAACAATAATTGTTAGTGATAAATATGAGGATTTTTCCTGTGTATATTATATTTACATGTGAAATAATTTTAGGTAAGTTAACAATGATATATGAATATGTTTATAAGTAATCGTATTAAATTCTATTATTTTATATATTGTGAATGAGAGATTTTTAAAGACTGATAATAGGATATATCAGGATATCATTTTGATGATGGGTACTGTAAACTATGTGGATTTCAATAATGTTATAAAAAGTGAAGAATGTCAGAGCTATGTGATCCCTTGACAAAATACGTTTTGAACAATTCGATTAGATGCATAGTAGTTAAGACCATTTATACTTGAAAATATAAATGGTGAATTAGGCAAATGAAATGTAAAACAAAAGAGAGATTATAAAGTTTCAATATGGAATTTTAACTTGATAATTTTAAGTATATTGAGCATTGGTTGGAATGTTAATTGTATAATAATGAGATATTTTTGATATCTCAATGAGTAGAAATTTGAATTTCTGACGGTTTGTAAATTCATTTAAACCAATTCTTCAAAATAAATTAACACAAGTGTAAACAGTGTGGGACTCATCATGCTGGATAATTGAGCAATATTACTTAAGTGGGCTTAAGGTGAGTGCAAATTGTTTTGGAATATATAACAGTAGTTTTCCTTTTCGAATGATCAATGTTTCAATAAACTTCAGTATACGGCCTAGACAACATATACACGAAACCATAAAGATTAAGTTTAAATCAATCTTATAGCCTGTTTCAACTATGTGTTTAGTAATACAAGAAGATTGATGTTTATTATCTGCTTTTGTTTATTCGTAATTTTTATTTGTTTCTTTAGTCGTTTTAGTACATGTACATGGCTACACATGTATAAACTGTTAAACATATAGTAAGATCTAAGCTAAGGTGATTATATTTACAGTAATATACTAAATGAAATCAACAAGTCTTACAATGGGAGATGATTTGACGTAATAAATTGAGGAGAGTAAGATTATTTTTAGCTTGAAAATGACATAAAAACTGTAAAGGATACTTCACAAGATTAGCTGGGTATTATATATATATATATATATATATATATATATATATATATATATATATATATCCACTCATTATAAATATGTATTAATATCTAAGTCTAGTTCAGTTGATAGTCCAATGCATATGAAAAACATTTCGAACACTTTTTGTGGAATCTGAACCCAAGTGGGAAAAGGAGAACTCGTAAGTTAACTAATCATTAACGATTCCTTTAAGAAATATTTGATGTGGTAGGTGGTTAAGACAAGATAAGTATACATAATGTTATATGTGATTAGTACAGTTTTAGAAATTACTAAATATTCATGTGATTGATTCAAATATCTATATGTTGAATTTCAGTTCATAATCTATTTAGTCCATTACAAATACAAAAACGTGTAATTAATGGTCAAAAAGCAGAAAAATTAGAATATCCATGGGCTGTATCTATAAAAGGTACAAATCCTGTATTCAAACAAATCACATATTGTGGATCAACATTTATACGAGATCGTTGGTTACTTACTGCTGCTCATTGTTTTTGGGCTGGATCATGGAGAAAATCTCAGTAATTATAAGTTTGAAAGCAATTTTATAGTAAACTATTTTATTCAAATTGTATACTTTTATTAACGAATAGAGAAGGCATTTACCTTATGAATAATTCAGTATGTTTGATATTAACAATTTTCACTTTAATTCAAATTCAAATGACATACGAAAGGAAAAAGAAGAAAATCTGTTGTAGACGTCGTACACTTTATTAGTTACACTTAGGCAGATTGTAGGAAAAATGTGGTAATACATTTGAAAAACGTTTCTTTGAGTTTAGAGACATCTTAAAACAATTAAGACAACTCATTGTATCATTGAATAAAAATAAAGAGAATTCTGGAAAGAAATTTCTTCTATGCAACGAAATCATTAACTTATGCTGTACATTCACATTTGTACTTGTATGATAAATATATGCTTATAGAAAGATAGAAAATATTACATAACACAGTGATTCATGGCTTAGAATATGAAATGAGGTTACGTAATAATCAAGAGGTTAGAGAAGAATAGGAAGATGAAAGTAATTTAGAGGTCAGAATTATGACCTCTTGGTAGATATGAAGAAAAAAAGAAAAACATAACGGTTATAATAGTGAAACTAACCAAAAATTATGAAAAATTTGTTAAAGCATAATGACAGCTTATTAAGGTTTAAAATTACAAAACAATGATTTTGAAAAAAACAATACAGATGGGAGTTGGGTTCAAAAAAGAATGAAGGGTTGAACCTATGGTTTTTGCATGAAGAGTCGGGGTTTGAATTGGTGGATTGCAAACGGCTCAGCTGTACAAAAGTTTTTGATTAGGCCTCCCTTCATTTCAGTTTCTTTGTTTGTGTACATTATTTTGAAGGAAGACTCCTTTGGAGTGACGAGTTCAGAGTTGATTAAGTGCTTTTGGGTTGAAATGGTGACTATTTTGCATTCTCCTTTTAAAAGCCACACTCGGTAATGTTCTGAGATGTGTTCGGAAGGTGTTCGCTCTCTGCAGCCAATGTAACCTGCCACACAGGAACAAGTAAATTTATAGATGCACATCGACATGCAAATATGAACGACTTCGTTGAAAAAAAAATTTTCTTCCCAGAATTCAATAATCAAAGACATTTCTGATTAATCTGATTAACAGAAAATTTACTGATTTCATAATCATATCAATTTCCACGAAACATTAGTGTTGAATGAATGTTAACGGACAGATATAATGGTAACACGTTATGCACGAAAGCTCAAGGCACAGAGATTAACTGTTAGTTGGGTAGGCAGGGGCATTAATGGGAAGTATTCAACTAGTATGTGACAGATGTCCACTTCAGCTTCTTATTCAATAGTTTTCTAGTATTATGAATTGTGCTTGAATCAGAAGATCTAGACAAACCTTAATATTCTAAAATGTTATTTGGATTTACAAATTCTATTTAGGCTTTAAAATCAGATAAGATTGATAGCTTGAATTTATCCTTTTCAACCAAAAGCGATTATTTACATTTCAGCCTTTTAGATCCAAACAACTGGCATGTTCAAGCTGGAAGTAACGTGATTGAAGTAAGTTACTTTTATTGATACCCGTTATCATGAGACTTGGACAATCATTGGTAATTAAATACTTATTTTTATGATGTTGTCATTAGTTTATTTGTTAGACTGATATTTGGGGTGTAAAACGAGCTTTAGTCCATCTGAGCATTTGGTTGACCGTTATAAAATTGATGATATTTTTAAAATGCTAAATGCATAATCCGTCTAAAAATTAGGTCGTTACTCTTCGGCTAACCTTATGAAAAGAAGATTATTATATAAGTTATGAATCTATAGCTTACCAAAGTAATAAAATTTTTTAACGTAGAAGCAGAGGCTATTTGGCGTTCGAAATCCCCACCTTGTAAGCATAAAACGAAATTCTGGTTCACTTGCCACTGACAAGATAGTTGATTAGCTGCTCCAACTACCTTACTTGCATTTCTCGGTTATGTTTGCTTGAGCTCATCTTTATTAAATCCAAACAACGCTTTTTTTGTTGACTTTGGTTCAGTTTTTATTTTAAATTTATGGTTATAATGACCAATCTTATTGTTTTAAGATTACTAGGCTAAAAATTTAACCCCTTATCATTTCAGACATTCAACCACTTCCATTTTCTCATGTCCTTTGAAATTATTATTGCCATTAGTAGGATTGGTATCATCAATGTTTTCATGGATGAACTAAGCAACTCTTTACATATAATTAAGCAGCAGATAATGTATATAAATGAAGTAGCTAAGATAGGAATCAAATAATGTAAGCATTATTTATTTAGTTGAAGATGTGTAGTGATCTGTTATAATGAATATAAAATATTCTAAGTCGCTTTATAGCTAATCAACTTTATTACAAATGTGTTTACAGTCATCTCTGAGCTATTTGAACAATTGTACAGTTCTACAGTTGTTTTTTTCTTATATTTTGTTAACAAGTTTTCCCAAGATTTACATGTTAACCATGAGCTGTCTATAGGATAGTTTGCTATTTGACATAGGTTGAGATTCATTCAACCACAAGTGTTAGGTATCTTTGTATACTATTTTTTATTCATTTTCATGATATTTATTTGAAACTATTCCGTAATTACATAATGATGATTTATTTAATTCTGTATTGATCAAAATACGTTTCCTAGAAAACTGAGATTTATCAAATAAATGAAAATAGGTACCAGAGAGTCAAAGATAAAATCTATGAATCATCAGAAATTTTTATACGTTTATTTGTACAGATTAGTAGAATATAGTTAAATAATATAATTAATTCCATTTTTAGTTAGGTGAAGAACATGGATATAGAGGACATGTATTAAAACCAGGTACAAGTGGACGTCAAACTATTGTAGCTACATTAATCAAAAGATTAATTGATATTTTCTCCAGGTAAGTTAAATTCATCCATCATTTTTAAAGAAAATGTCTTATTGAAATGATGTGAATGCATGCGTATTTCATTTTATTATAAACTGTAATGTTCAAACTACTGTGTATATACACATATCTAGAAGTGAATTGAGAGATTTAAAGTATTTGTATAGCTGATTTTAATGTTTTATTTACCTAATTATATCAAATAGTTATCTTTGTTTATAGGACGATGTAAATATGTACACCAATTTCATCTATCCTTATCTTTTTTTGATGAGCAGTAAGGAAGAATTCCCTAATAGAAAGTATTCATTGTAATTGTAAACTAACGTTTAACTAATGAGCAATATTCTCATCATATATATTTATGCTTTTAATGTTTGAACTGTTTATCATCTCTTTAAGTAGTATGAGATCGTATTTAATCACTTAATTGACGATCTGAAAGAAAAGTACTATTTATTCTTACAGTCTCTAATATGATAAGCTTCTATGTACTTCAATGTGATTTACTAATTATCCAAGTGCCAATATGAAGAACTCTGTATCATATATCTTCATTAGCTGGTTTTTTAATTTTTCCCCATCATGAAATAATTTATTGTTTAGAAATTTCTCACCATATCAAAACGCAGATATATGAATTTGAAATATTGCTTACAACGAATTCTCCTCATTTTCTGCAGTTATACTGTAGTGAATAAGAACATTATTGGGGACAATAGAATGTATTTGAACACGAAAACTACAATCATGTTTAATTTCGATAATGTAACAAGAAGACGGAGATTATCAGGACTATGTGATATATTAGCGCAATACATTTCGAACAATCTGATCGCACAGGCTCGATCGTATTTGTACAAATGACGCCATTGATGATGATGCTAAGTTACTAAATAAAGCATTAATAGAAAATGGCTATCCTCTGAAATTCATACATAGATGTAAAGTCCATGGTATAGCGAGACCTACTGTAGCCTCGGTGGAGAAAAAGCCTGTCTACATCACATTGCCGTTCAGAGGTGATTCAAATAGCCTTTTATTGAAACAAAGACTTAAATCAGTCATCAATAAAACGTATTGTGCAGCTAAGCTCATTATCCAAGAAAGAACAAGGTGCATGTTTCATCCAAAACCTAAAAGACGTGAAAACGATTGTCACATCCCACTGTGTTTACCAATTTAAATGTGTGTGTGGTCACACATACATAGGGAGGAGCAATCGTGATCTCAACATTATGGTGAGTGAACATGTACCCAAATGGCTGCAGAAACAAATACAATCAAGTGACTCAATAAGAGCAGAGGATAAACATCCATCATCCTCTATTGCTAAACATATAATTGAAACAGGTCATGAGATTGATCTAAACTCGGCTTTTGTGGTGTTTCATAAAAGTCTAAAAGGGCGCATAATAAGTAAGAACTTTCATCTAAATTTGAACAAATAGTTTCACAATATTTAGGCGCCGAGTTAATGTGAGTCATTAAAGAGGAAGAATATATATTTGTACAGTCTCAGCGAATGAATTTTAAGTAAATCCAGCGCATACTAAAGTTTATCGAAGCCTTAGCCATACGAAAATTCAAACTCCCTTTGTGTGTTCAAAAACAGTTCGTTTTTACCTTAAACCTACCCTGGTAATATTGGCTTATTATGCAGAGTGATTACGTTTCAAATTGTGTTCACATTATTATTATTACCCTTATCATTATCCTTATCTCCTCTTACCCCGTTTCCAGTCTAGTTATATATAAATGCTCTTAACAAGTATATGTGTGATCAGATTGTTCGAAATGAATTGCGCTAATATATCACATAGCTCTGATAATCTTCGTCTTCTTATTACATTATCGAAATTTATCAAAGGGACTAATTGTTTTAAGTCATGTTTAAAGTAAATTTCATTGTTTTAAATTACAACATTAAAATTAAGGATTATTAGTAAAATAAAATAAAATCGTTAGTGGTAAAATGACTAATATACAGTGTTAACTTGTATTAGCTGAAATGAAGCTGTAGAATTAATATTCAGAATAAATACAGATAAAATAGAGAGAAATAATATGGTAATTACGAATCAGATCGAATGTTTGGTAGAAGACAACGTTATCTGCTAAATGATATGATAAATGCGGTGAATGTTTATGTATTTATGTGTATGGGCGAATAGCAGTGCTAGTAACAACTGTAATAATAATGAAGAAGTTTACGTAAAGATCTGGGAGTTAAAGAGAAATATACTTGTCTTTTTTCGACGAAATCACTTGAGTCATACATTCGTTTGATTTGATAATTATATGAGTCTATAGCGGGAAGGAAAATAAAGGACTAATTCGTATATCAAACCAATTTAATTATTTAATGGTTAAATTTACGAGTCAATCTGAGTAAGTGTCTGTCATGAGGCAGTTACTCACTGAATACAATAGTGGACAGTCGCAAAACATCGTGAATTGTCTGGATTCAGACATTAACACCGTTGGGTGCCGACTCAGTGGTCTAAATGTTAAGCGTTCGCGCGCGTGACCGAAGGTCCTTGATTCGAGTTCCGCGCGTGGGTGCACACTGTTTGGAAGTCCAGTACTAGGACAAAACGGCCGTCTAGTGCTTCCGGGTTTTCACTGGTTGTCTAACTTAAATAGACTCATGAATTCAATCACTAAACTAATAAAATTTAATTTTGACAATAACTGAATTATTTTCTAACCGCATAACTAAATTATTCTGCTATAGTCATGTATTCTCACTTTATTTACATTGATCAGTAGTGAAAATAGTATGAAATTCTTAAATAAATTAATATTATTAAGTCAATTTCATTTGACTTGTCTTTTTCCTTACATAATAAATGTATTTTTTCCTTGTATAATTCACTCACATTTTTCTGACCATTTGACAAACATGGAGTTTACTTTGTTTGATTGTAGTTTACCCATATGTAAATTTATATTTAAATATAAAATGTTAGTTTTTTTCCAGAAATCCATATATCTTTGTCGAACATATCAGTAGTAAAAAGAGATCAGTTAAATAATTATAACACCGTTGGTATTTTTAGTTAGTGTGTTGCTATGCCTTGTCAAATGAACAAGCAAATAAACATACAAATAAAACTTGAGTATCAATGGACAAATATATCCCATTGTAAAATATATCCTATTAAGTAAAACGTTTATCTGATAATCAATGAGGTGGTTCTCAAGTATCTAAATGTTTTGCATCGAGATTTTATTACACTTTAGTCAGTTATCGCTTAAAACATTTTAGTGCTTTGTTGTTATGTTAACAAACATTTAATGAATGTATATAAATCAATAAATATGCGATATGGTAAATTCTGAAACAGACTTTTACATTGTACATATGAATAGTTTACAATATTTGAAATCATTCCCTCTAAAATTTCACATTTTTGCATCATGATTTAGTAGTAGTTCAAAAGACAAACAAGGGCTGTTTGGCATACACATGTAAAACAAATTATACTTCATCCAAATTATAGACCAGGTAAGCATTGCAAAAAATGATAAATAGTAAACAAACTATTCTGTTTTCTAAAATCAATAAAAAACTATTTATTATTTTGTATGGTGTTATAAAGACATTTCAAATTATGTTTTAATCTCAACGTTAGTTACTTGCTTATTTATGCTTGTTATCCTCCGTTTAGTATAGGCTGCCGACCAGCTATCTCCACCCTATTATATCTTGTGCTCTCCCTTTCAACTGTTGCCAAATTTTCTTCATTCCTTTGATGTCTGTATCTGATAGTAAGGAAGATGTTTTTTTGAATCTAGACTTTATTTACCTTGGTAATGTCTTAACGATCTAAAAATGTGTGCCGACATTATAAAGAAAATAGGTGTAAAGTATCAACTTTGATGATCATTTTGCCTTAATCAAAATATAAAGGATGAAATTTTTTATAAATAAAGTTATGCTCAAAGATACTGACAAATTGCAACCGCATACATATCTATAGGTGGAAATTTGTTTAATCATATCATTTAACATAGATCATATTAAGCAGTTTCATTACTTTATATAAGTGGAATTTATATTTTAATGGGGAAAAGTGGTTGCTTACACGGATAAATAGTTTGAAAAGTATTCTTAAGTTCAAATTGAAGTTTTTATGCAACTGAATATCGCTTTTAAGACGAAAAAGTCAACTTACGAAGACTGTCGATAAAGATATTTACACGATATGTTTCTATCACGGTTAATACTGCCATTATGGTTGTTATTTTTTCTGTTATCTTTTTATTCATCTGGATTTGGTGTTTACGTAATTATATTTTTATATGACTAACACCGAGGTAAGATGTTCTCTGTGGAGTAGAAGTTTGCACATGATCATTATTGAGAAAGTAAGCTTATAATGAATAGTTAGTGAAGAAAGGTGGATTTTGCTAAGTAAACTTGTTAAGCGAATTTTGCTAGATAAAGTATATATGTAGTGAAATATTGAAGTTTTTATGCAGCATCAGTAACTCAATTATTTTACACAAAATTTACCATTACATGGAGAATATTCCTTTATGAGCCTAGTTATTTTCATTTGAACAGCCATTCATAAGAGTATGAAATTCCAAGAATTTTGCATCTCTGTAACTTGAACTTTATCACTTGAACCAGACCAAAGGTTTATTAACGGCCATAATCATAAAGACTGACAGTAATTGTAAATTTATACTCTATACTTAATTGTCTTTTCAGACGATCTAGAATATGATCTAGCTTTGCTCGAACTAGAAACACCCTTGCCGTCGGAAGATCCAGGGGTTCAACCTGCTGAATTACCACCTAGTGAAAATTATCTTGCTTGGCCACCTGATCATGCTGATTGCATATTTGTCGGATGGGGTTGTCGTGTAAAAAATGGTAAACCATCAGCACAAGCTCAAGCTGTTCATTTGTTAACACTAAAAAATCAGGACTGTTCGCTTATGTATGGCAATGCAGCAGGCTTAAACGATCAACATGAGTTTTGCGCCGGTTATTACCAAGGACGAGTAGGAATTTGCTCAGTAAGCCCTATAACTAATATTTGTTCTTCAACTTGAATTGCAAAATACTTTTTGTGATTATGAAAGTCTAGTTTCAGTCGGTATGTTTGGGAATTCGCATACATCTAATCACGACTGTTTCTAGGAGAATTACAGATTCAGAAGTTTCCTATTTGATTAAATTGTATTTTGTAAGTTTGCCCTATCCTGGGATTGCAACAAAAATCGTTAGACGGATTTTATCATGTAACTTTACAAATGATATAGAGATAAGTATTATGTCCCTAAGCAAATTCAAGATCAGAATAACAAAACTAACGATGCAATCATGATGATGTTCATATGTTTATACATCATCTCCCAATGGTATCATTGATCAGAGCACGAATAACAAAATTTGAAGAATAAATAAAATCTGTTACATTTCGATATTTTTCGCTAGCTGCGAGAAGCCTACATTTGAAACAACTGATATTGATAGGGCTAGATTTCTGGAAAACGTGGATCATAGGAAATCTATTGTTAAATACTTAAAGAATGAACAAAAACTGAAATGTCCAGCTCTCAGTATAAAACATGTCTTTACCTTTTCCACGTTGAAATGGAATGTCAATTCAAGAAATTACTAAAAATGGCCTTACTTGTAACACTAATGGATTATTTTTTCAAATGAATGTATATCAACAATTAAGAGTTCACCTTCATCAGTATTTACAAACTTTATGAAACATGTATATAACAGTCACTGAGCATAGTCTCACTATACTATAATTTACAGTTACATATGCTGAAGAAATAAAATGAGACCACCAAAGCATATGATTAGCAAGCAATTGTTTTATTTTTTTATTTTGAAAAGGTAAGCTTTTGAATAACATAAAATCCTACGTATCTTATGTAAATATTTTTTCTGCAACCTTTTAGAAATAAAATAAATCCAGATGAAATTAGAAATAGAAAGATTAATTTTTCATAATTTTCCTTGGTCAAAGATTGTTCAATTAAGTAGCGTATACTCAAACATTGGTCAAATTACTCTTGTTCTTGATAAGTTTACATTATGTAACCACTATATATCAACTGAAAAGTCACTAAAATCACCAGGTATTAGTATGAGTGGGTGGATGTATTAAAAATACTTGGTAGTTCATACATAAGTAGTAAAATGCGATCAAATTTATTACTTAGGATTGTGTGGGTAAGTACTATAACTTTACATGTCATAACTAAATAGTTCCCTTTTTCAACTCCGTTCCACCCGTCATGTAATATAGCCATCATTTAAAGTTATCGTTGAATTATAGTCAATCTCAACTGTCAACAAGTTTAAACTAGGAAAAGTAATTATTTAGTGTTCAGCGGTCTTATTGGGAATCAAGGTTATTTCAAGATGCGTTACAACTTTTAGAGGAATTCAATAAGATCATTATTAAATCAATTAGCGCTAACTTATTGAAATGGCATATAATTTTTATGATCGTAGGTGGTGAAACGATTATTATTTTATGAAGTATATTATTTATTTGAACGGACTTAACTAAGAAGCTTATATTATTTGAGTAACTAAATAAGACAAATTTCCTTCTGCTTTTTTTAGGGTGATAGCGGGAGTGGTCTGATTTATAAGAAAGGTGATATAAACTACGTTGTTGGTGTAGCTTCAGCTACACACGCTACGGCACCTGAGCTTTATCCAGGTTTATTCACAAGAGTTGCATATTTTAGAACATGGATTGATGGAGTGATAGATGGGACAACAACTCAAAATTCAACTAGCCCGAAACAATAAACCATAAACTAAATTCACATTAGCATATTTTCAGTACATTTCAAATTATCATTCAGTTTTGTTGAATATTAATATACACAAAAAGAAGAATTGAACTTTTTTCATGTTGATTTTATTCCATCTGACATAACGTGTAACTAATATACTGTAATAACATTGAATACATATTTAAATAATTAACTTTTGAAATCATTATGTTTGTTAATGAAGTAGGTACAAGATGAATTCAGTGTATGCAATTTCATTGATACTTTCTTAGAGATATTTTCATGTATATCTATGCAGCAAGTTTAGATCAATATCGGTACAGATGTTTACCTACTTTACAATGATTCAAGCTTTAAAAAAATAATTTCGGTCTAACCTGTTATTTAAAAATTGTTTAAGAAAAAAGCTTATTATTTAAGCCTTTTAATAAAGAAGGTAATCGACTGGGTGTATTTATAACCAACATGTTTTGCAATAATGAATATGTACTCAATTATCTACTTCGGACAATCTGCATTTTGACTAGACAACAGTTATAAATCCTCATAATTTTCGATATTTATTCAGTTCCTTATTCAGAAATTTCTGGAAAGGTACATCAGGGAATAGGATTTGAAATTAGAAATGTTGTTTTTTTCTAATCATAGTCAGTAGGAGGACATACTCTTCTTGTAACTACAAACTATCATTTATTTGGTATCATTTAAATGTTATGATCTTTTTGGACAACAACGAAGAGGAAATGCTTTCATCTTGTAATTCTACATAACTCAAAGTTAAATGGAGACTGTTCTGTGATAGGATAGATTACATATTTAATAATTCGTTGTAAGTGTTTAAATTGTAAAGGACACAAATTTGATAAATGTTACTTGTATATCAACCATAGTGTTAAATCACAGTTTCGTCACCTACTAAATATACGAAAGAACCATAGATAACTGAGATGATGTTTCGACCGAAATGATTGGGCTTGTTATGAGATGTAATTTAGTTACAAATAAATAGAATAAAAGCGATTGAAAAATAATAAACTTTTCTACGTCTTGTGAGACTTGAACAAAGGTACACGTTTAGCATTAAATCAAAGTTTATACCGGAATGATATAAAAAATAATGCCATCCCTCTATCCCACCACATCAAAATAAAAAAGAATCTCCTTACAAATTAATGGGTTTGTGTATAATCATATCAATCAAACAATATGGTGCAAGTTATACTAACTAGATAAGATTCTAAATGTTTTTTTGTTATGCTTCAGTAGTCTAACACGTTTTCTGTTGAAACAGTGTCTAATAGATAATAACTGATGTGATATTCACACTGCCGAACAAATGAGTAAATTAACAATTGTCGAACTTGTTCTGGAAAGCCTACGCCGAGGAAGAATAAACATCTAGAATGTCCAGTTCCTTGGATGCAGGATATCTTGTAGTTATTACAACATCCTTCAAGATGATTAACATACAGCCAAGCTCTAACCTCCGCAAATTTTCAGAAGCTACTTTAACCAAGGGTTGAGCTCCTGATTTATTTGTTCAGAAAAAAGCAGTTATCAGTCGCCGGTTTCCTTGGTAACATTAATCTTAATACTTTGGTCGTTTTCAGCTCTTTCATTCCAATATTTCGTTGTGTTACTTGTTGCACTCTCTTCACGATCACTCGGTTTATCCCTAACCTACTGAAAATTACTCACTTTAATTAGATTAATATCATTAGCACTTGTTTATTACATAACTACTCATTCTCATCGCTTTGGCTTTTTATTGTTATCTATGACCCTCTGTATATGATAATTAGTTGCATCATTTTATTCAGTTTCTTGATTTCATTTTGATCTTTGCTACACTATGATTATACTATCAGAATTATTGTGCCAAAACATTAAACTTCATTTGTCCACCATATGATTGTAATCAAACCATGTCATACATACTTTCCTAATTGAGAGGTGACATGCATTAGCTACGGACGCGTTTGAGCCGGACATGTAGTTCTCTCTTCCCGTTAATCTAACTCGAAGCGAAAATAGAATCCGTTTACGATCACTTGTCTGACTAATACTGATCTTTTATAATGAAGTATTATTGGTAAAAACGGATATTGCCCTCGTACTGATTGTTTAAATCTTCCAATTGAAGTTTGGGACTGTAATCGGTTAGTCTCTTATTAGTAATTTACACAATTTATATTGAACGTTGGTGTTTATCGGAACTTAAAATAGCAGTAATTTGATTTGTAATTGTTAAATTAAATAATAACCACAATTTGAGTGCTGTTAACCTAGCGATCTAGAATAACTAACTTCATTCATTCACGTTTTTATGGATTTAATATAACTTAATATTTGTATTATATTTACCAAAGTGTACCAAGTTTGCAGACATGTGAACAAATCGGCATTATCGATTAATTACATAACAAATTAAACACAAAATAAAACGATAAGATTAGAATCGATTCATTCAATTAAAATTAGTGAGTAAATAATAAACGATTGGAGCTGAATAAAAGCTAAAAGAGAACAAGTATGAAGAATTAAAGAAAGACTGATTGCAATTCTCGTTTTGTGTTTTGAGGTGCAATTATAAGCTTCCGTGGATATCGGTTACACTTACAGTAAAACAATATCCAGATTTATGTCTATTACACGAGTCTGTGTTGGTAAATTGATTCAGTGAGCTGATTACTGATATATTTGAATAGAAATAATTTATTATGTGTCAAACATTAACTGAAATAGATAAGACCATTAGTTTTTATTTTTAGCTTTATTCATATTATATCTTTGATACAATATATAATTCTCAGCACAAAGCATTTCAACAAGTTTCCGTTTCTTATTTCTTGGTCGATGCTGGCGAAGTTAGCAGTCCAGTAAATCGACATCTAAATAATGTACATTCTTTCCGCTGCATATTGACGGCAACCACGATATCACTGATTGGGCTTTTTGTAACTTGTACAACGAAAGATTGTATACTTTTCAGAAGCGCACCTGAATAGGTTATGTGGTTAATAGCCATAATGATGTATTGCAACAAACAAAAAACAGATAACTTGTTGAAATACCCAGATGGCAAGTATGGGTAGCTTAGATGTTCAAGCAGGTCGCCAAAGTCTATACATATCTATTGAAGATCTCTCTTTTTATTTTCTGAATAATATATAACAATTATTGATAACTTGAGAATGAATAATAAATAATGCCTAAATTCAATCTACGACTTTATATTAGGTTTCATATTTTCTTGTTACTTAATCGTTTGACGAATGAATCATCAGATAATTATTCAATAGATGAATTCATTAGTCAATTGAAGCATTGTTAAAACAAGTTTATTTAATCCTAAATGATCAGAACATTAACAACAGAAAATCGTTTGCATTGTGTTTTTTGTGTTCGTTTTTTGTTTTATTCTATTTATTCGTTGAAATTCTGGGTATTTTCTAGTTTAATAGTTGAGTTCATGAATCAACTAAAGCAAGACCACCATGGGAAACCTGGAAGCACTGGACAGCTGTTTCGTCCTAGCATGCGACCCCTCAGCAGTGCGCATCCACAATTCCGCTTGATGAAATTTGAACCCAGGACCCATCAGCCTCGCGCACCAACACTTAATCTCTAGACCACTGAACAGGCATCCAACGGTGTTAATGTCTAACTTTAACCAATGCACGAAGTTGTGCAACTATAAATCATGTTAACATATTAATGACATTGGTTTTTTTAACTTCAAGATGGTCTATTCACTGAACAGATTGAAAATAAACTCAGTATAGCTAATTAAAAAGTCATGATTTGATCAAAAATTATAGTAACAAATTTATTTATTCATTGTTTTTTAAACAAATTAAAAAAAATGTTTTGACATAACAGTACAAAAATGCCATTGTACTTTCTTTTTGTTGTTGTTGTTGTCGTTGTTGTTAAAAGAAAAGAGATTAAATTATACCATTTTGGACTATCATTTAAACATAAATGTATGCTAACTAGTGTACAATTGAAATAAACTAAATGTTGTTTTCTTTGTTTCGATTTATCACTGATATCTTCTAACCGGATTTGAAAAGGAGGAAAGCTCGTTCTTGTAAATAGAAATAGATGAAATGTTGTGTTTCATGTGTTACATAACTAAAATTAGAATTACAAAAAAGGAAAGATATTAAAATATTGTGTATTTACTAAATCAATAAAAGGTAAACATTTGTATATCATCCTACATACCTTATCAACCTAAGCTAACATAACATAGAATTAAAAGGAATTTTATAAAATGAGAGATAATGTTATAAAATATAGGCGTTTGTTGTTTTACATCTAATTAGTTATGTTTCTTAAGTTACTGAATCCACTATATCTGATAATAGACATTATATACTAAATATACTTCAAAATAAAAGGACATTAACATAAAGATAAATGATTTTATTCATGGTGCTTACCTGCCAAAATGTTTTCCAACAATACAATGCCAATTTGGATTATATTTTCTATCAAATTCTTTTTTTATATAAGCAGCAACATCTTTTTCAATTTCATATTTGTCAAGTGCAGCAGCAGCTGTATGTACAGCAGTCTCTTGCATATCTTCATGCATATCAGCATTTTTAATGACAGCTTTTCGTTCTCCCATTTAACTTAATTTATGAATATAAACACAATGAAGTATTATATCTGAACATTTAGTACTTTTATACCGTTCATAATTTTAAGTACTTAATCATATCACTATTTTCATTCGTAGATTCATGTTTAGTAAATTAGCTTCAATTCACCTGATTAGATGAGAAGAAAAAAAGAAAAAAGAGCTATTCCGAAAATTGGTTTGTATTATAGCATAGCTATTACATATTAGGCTGACAAGTAGATGAACACAAATACTATTCTTATTTGTAGTTAGAGAAAAAAGTTATATGTGTGTTTACCATATCATTTATCTTTCTTTAAATGATTTTTTTTCTCTCTCTCTCTGTCTTTATTGTTATGTTTACTTATGATTGAGTTAAACTATGTGCGTTAGTGTAATAGATGAGTTTGACTATAGAACTGTGAGTATAAATGAATGTGTATCGTAACTTCATTATATTGTGTTACCATATGTTTACACTTAGTGATTGTTTGTTTTTTTTATTTTTAAATAATCATAAACTATTTGTTTACAACTATTCAGTTTTATAATGGTTCAAATCAATCTCTTAGAAAAAAAATGATAGAAAACGTTATAAACTAAATTTTTTAATTGTGATAATCATTTCATTTGTTTATATTAGTTGATAGAATTATGAAAAAACAGAAATTTGTTTGTTTGATTTTTTTCGAAATGAGCTACATTTTTGATATTCATAAACTTATCTGAAGTTAGATCATTTAAAGTTGAAATAACAGATGAATTTCATTAGATAACTTTAACAAGAAGAATAATATTACAATCGACAGTTCCTTGTACGATATTTCTATACGTTTGAACATAACTTTAGATGAACATCAAAGTTATTCTGTTAATTTTAAGTTGTTATGTATTGTCTGAAGAAGTAGGTTACATTAAGTCACGAAACGCTAGAAAATCTAATTTTTCTACTCATTGGAATATACATATATATATTATTTGTTTTCAAAGTTATTCTGTTAGGCTTTCTAAAAGTTTAAATGACAAATGAATGATGTAGGCAACAATTAGATCTTATTCGTATTTGTGATTGTATTTACGGGATAGGGAAGTATTATATTACTTACTTATTTACTTACGCCTGTTACTCCTAATGGAGCATAGGCCGCCAACGAAAATTCTCCAACCCACTCTGTCCTGGGCCTTCTTTACCAGTTTTATCCGATTTTTGTTCATTTTTCTCATGTCTATCTCCATTTCTCGACGTAATGTGTTCGTTGATCTTCTCTTTTCCTTCGACCTTGAGGATTCCATGTAAAGATTTGCCTTGTGACGCAGTATTATATACTTCATAATACATAACATAATTATATTTTCATTCATTTTTGAATAAGATTTATTAGTACAACAAAATTGTTCGTAGTATCAGTTGATTGAAAGTACTTTGAATTTGGACTGATTTATTATATTGCAGAGGAAATAGTCCATTTTATGAAAGAGTTTTCTTCTGTTTTTTTTCTAATTCTTATGTCTATGTGCCCAACAACAAGCAGAATTATTTGCAAAGGTAATGTTAATATATATTCTTTCTTTTATCTTATTTTTATAATGGAATAAATACATACGATCAAAGTTATATGGTAATCATATCTTTGAAAGGTACCAAATTATTTGTATTCCATTACTTTACTAACATTATCAGATAGGTTTTACAGAATTGTCAGTTAGAAATAGTATACAAACTAACAAGTCATTTAGTTCGCAATTTGAAATAGATAATTCATGTCATTTATGACAGATGTAATGAAATCTGAACAGGAAATGTGTTAATTTTAATAGTGTCAACGTATTGTACAAAGTGTTAATCAATATAATTCATTCTTTTTTAAAGTAGTAACTTTTCAAATTGTATAGTCCTCATCGTAATTGTATTTTTCTTGTCTGCCAACATCTGATTAGTGTTACGTACTACTTATATCTGACAACATAAGAAGCATACACTACAATAAAAGTATTCTGATAAATAAGTAAGAGTTTTTTTCTACCAAAACTCACTACTTTGTTCAATGATCAATGAAGAATACATATTTATAAATACATGTATTTGCCTAATTTAACCAGTTAAAATCTTAACAGACTAATTTGCCAAATTTAGTTGTATTACAGTGAAGGAAAACACAAGTGGGAACAATCGGATGTATTTGAATACAAAGTTACAAAACGTCTTAGTAAAATATGAGAACCATACAGTAAATAATTCATTTGCTAAATATCAGTCAATCGTCTGAGAATTTATTGTTCCTTCGTTTCCACACCGAACATCCTCTGTTTTCATTCTCTTTTCTTCGATCTTAACATTCTGCTACCAGATATTTCACTTCTTATTAATGATACACACTATTGATATCTGTGGACATCAGTAGCACACAACACAGTATGACAGCATCAACCGAATATTTATTCAGTGGTTTAAAAATTCCACAGTAAATGTGCTAAACCTATGAACATTTGATTATTAAAATTCATTTTTATTTGATTAAAATCATGTTAACGTATTGTGAAACAAGACCTAATTTATTACTTTATGTATTGAAAATAACTGCGTCAAGTTTGGATAGTCATTTTCACGAAGTATCTAACTGTCATCTATTAAAGTCAATCATTTTCTACTATGCTTCAAACTTGAATTTCAACTTTTGAAAATATTTAGCGGTTGAATTCATGCGTCAATTAAAGCCGGATCTAGAAGCGCTGGACGGCTGTTTCGTCCTAGTACGGGACTCCTCAATAGTGCGCATTCACTATCCCGCCCCGCGAGATTCGAACCAAGAACTTGCTGGTCTCGCACGCGAACACTTAAACTCTATATCACTGATATATACAATAGGGGATATGCTAATGTGTCATTATACGATATCTTTGCAAATACGAAGATTAGTCTAATAAAATAAGGAATCATTGATTAGGTCTTCTTTTCTTAAGAGTTATATGAATTCAAACTTTAAAATCGTTCGATATTAACAGATTCATCTATTCTACCTGTCCTCTTACAGTCTAAGAATTAGTATAGTTTGCAAGCATATTTAGGTGAACAAAGATCAATGACCCCTGGTATTCAGTTAAGATAAAGTAAACTCTCATTACTGATTTTGAAATCCACTTCTTATAAATGAAATACTTGAATTCTCAAGTCAAGACTTAACAGTGAAGAGTAAATGATACCATATTTTGGATTTGAATACATCTACATACATGTTACATTTGACTTCAAATAATATTTGAATTTATACTTCACTAATTAGAAATAGTATATGCTCTACTTACAGAATATTAGTTTTTTTAAAAATATTTCTAATACACAAAAGGGTTTAATGAAAATACATTCTTAAAACTAGTATGCCTATTAATCATATATAGAGTTACACAAAATTACGCAATGATATCAATGTAAGTTGATTATATATATATATATATATATATATATATATATATATATATATATCTGCAATTTTTCTTTGTTTTGTTTTGTTTTTGACTCTGAACATAATAATTCATTGAGTTTCCAAAAGTTTCGTTTATTTGTTAATTAGATGATAAAGTTAAATAATCAATAATGTGTACTCTGATGTATTTTGTATTTGTCTTTATATAAATCAACTACATTTATGAAGAAAAAGAGTAAACTATTCTTTGATGTAATACATTAATTATAATAATGATAATGATGAATACATTTTCTTTGGTTTAACCAATTTAATGAAATAATAAACTGTTCTTATAAAGTTATTCCAAGGTTTATAATTGTAACTTGATACAGTTGTATTGTTCTTTAAATCAACTTGCTTGTTTGATGAATAAGACGTTTATTTAATAAACTATTATGAGTTAGATCATATATTCTATTTCTATGTAAGATTCATTAAACAAACGATAAGAAACTTTGTGTAGTATAATGTGATTACTAAATAATATTGATATGTAACGGCTAACGGAAACTATGAATTATAACCATATAAAAGAACTACATTTTTATAAGATTAAGTTATTTATTTCATAGTACATATATAAAATCAAACTTAAGATATGGAAGCTGTGGAATAAAAAATATGGCTTGCTTACTTACGCTTGTTATTCCTCGTGAAGGAGCATAGGCCACCCACCAGCATTCTCCGTCCAACCCTGTACTGGGCAATCCTTTCCAGCTCTTTTCAGTTCTTATTTTCTCCTTTGCACATCTGCTTTTATTTCCCGACGTAATGTGTTCATTGGCCTTCCACTTTTCTGTTTCCCTTCAGGATTCCATGTTACGGCTTGCCTCATGATGCAGTTTGACAATTTGCGCAGTGTATTTCCTATCCATTTTCATCGTCTTTTCCTAATTTCCTCTTCAGCTGAAGCTGGGATTTTTTTCTCTCACAGAAGGCTGTTGCTGATGGTATCCGGCCAATACATGTTGGTTTTTCCCTTGTGTATGTTGAGGCCTACTGATGCAGAGACTACTGCTACACTGGCTGTTTTTATCTGCATTTGTTCATGTGTATGCGATGAAAAATATGGATTTTTGTAAAAAATGAATTAAACAATCCATATGATAAGTGTACCTTTGATAAAAAGGTTTTTACCTAACAGTCAATATAATTGTATATTGCTACAATCGAGATAACTCATTAGAATATAAATACATGACATTTACGTAGAATGAAAACGTATAATATGGAAATGAACTGTACAAATTGTTCATATTGGTTACATGGCGAAAGAACACCCGAATATTGAAGTTAAATTATCTGGATACGTAGTACATAAATGGCATATCAACAATGTTAATTAAATCTTATTATTTTGAGTTTTGTAAAAGGGACAGAATAATATACTGTGGTTCTAAATTCAAAAATAGTTACAGTCCCCACTCAAGTAGGATTTATACGTAAGTATATCTCTAACCATACCTTCTAATTACAAAAGAAAGGCATGTAACTAAGCACATTTTAAAATCATGTATTATTATTTTCTCAGTTATCACAAAAATGTACAACGAAATAAATGTATTAAGAATTCGGTGTGATATTCCTCCTTGGTACATCAATAAATAAGTGCATGATATTTCATGACAACTAAAATAAAGAATCTCACTAAATTTAGTGTTAACTAAAGATTTCCATTTTGTTGCATTCAACAAAGATCTAGAATGAAACAATTTCAAGTTATATTTGTCAGAGGATTTCATGTAATAAGTGCCACAATTGGTTAGTTTTGAATTTGATCTATGATTCATCAGTTCACAACAGCTAAAACTGATCTCTTAAACTTCAGAGTAAATTTCTATGTGTCACTGTAATACGAATAAATTAATTACTACATTAGAAAATGCTAAGGTATCTTCAATCTAACACATAAATGGATATTGTACTTTCTTATATTTGAATGATTAACATTTAAATATTTACCAACCAAGATATTCTTTATTTTATTCTTGACAGTTGATTGATCATTGGGTAGTGATCAATGTCATGTGTGTCAGGTCCTTCTAAATTCAGATCGAATCCTATCTAGCAAGTTGCAATATGGCCACTAGTCTAGATAACTCGACATTGTGTACACTATGTTGAGATAATATGGTTGTTACATATAGTTGACAGGAAACCCTGGACCTGGATTGCATGCTATTCAGCATTCGTCAGCAAGTTGTACCTATAAACTTGACGGAACTCATACTCCCGTATCACCCAGCTCAACAATCAGAGACGTTACCACTGGATTATCCGGGCCGTGACTGACCTCCTGTATGCATAACCCAGACTAAAAATTAAATTTTCACTAACATAGAATACAAAAACTTTCTATTTTGTTTAACTGTACGATATATTACGGTGTCAATAATAACAAAACAAGAATTTTGAATTATTTCACAAAACGTTTACACAGAATACATACAGTAAATTGATGTTTGCATTTACAGTTAGTCAAAAGTATTTGCAAGTCGGTAAACAACTGGCAACTATTTTTTTTTTAAAATAGCAAAACGACAATAAGATAGTGGTACACATATACACACATATATATTTATACATATATGTTAAACCACCCACTATTAATATCGACCTAATGTATTTAGAGATGAATGGTTAAACATACTACATACATTGTTATTGATATGTCGATAAAATGAAGCCAAGCTACTAAACAAGAATTTCAACATAGAAATGAAATGAAATTTTATTGTATGTAAATTATGATCAATTTTATACATAACTTGTCATCATTAATTTCATTCATGAAACTTAATTATATAATATCAATGTTAAGAATGTTTCTCTAATACGTGTATATTAAGTTGTAATCAATATGAATGAATTATAAAACATTTAGTAAAAAATACAATTCTTAAGATTTAGCATAGTTTACATAAGCATGAAAACAAAAAAGAAAATATTGTTGCTGACGCCACAAACAATATTAACATTGAATATAAGAGAAATATTTTAATAGGTGAATATCAGCATAACTATATATAATTCATATGGATGTTGATTGTTTGGATCTTTCTATTGATGTTTAAGTCTATAGTTGATCAATTTCTTTTGGCATACGTGAAAACTGTATGAGTGACTTCGATAGAGCAATTAATTCTCAAGGATTTCATGTGGTGATGAATAGGTTTGGTAGTGGAATCTAAGACTCACGCTTCGTTTTGATATATTTGATAGCGTTAACCCATCTTTTAATTTTACACTTAAGGAGGGACAGAGAACTATTACGTCGTTTCTGATGTCTAACGAACAAACAAAGTAGATGGAATACCAAAAAGAGGAACACACAGAAAGACTGCAGTAGAACAATATGCTCATTTCCATGGTACTGTACTAATTAGATATAATAGACTTCAACCGTATCATGTGTCAGGCAGACAATAGAAGATCGTCGTCAAATATCGTCGATTAGTTGAAGTAAAATACTAATACTGTTAGATCACGGCTCTGTAGTTTTGATATTATGCGCTCTCAGGAAACCGAAGGTCCTGGTTCGGGTCCTGCGAACGGGATTATAGATACACATTGCTGAAAAGCACTCTACTAGGACGATGCAGAAGTTCAATGTTCCCATGATTTCATTCGTGATATAACATTGGTCAGTTCATGAACTCGGTGAAAACTCAACTATCTCTATAAAACAATACTGATCATATCATAATTTCTTCTAACTACATTTTTACAAATTCTTAGTATTCGTCTGTTGATTCTTACGTAACTACTGTATTACTGGCCTTTCATGATAATATTTTGTTGGTTCTCTTAAAGCATTATCCGGTGTAACAACTTTTTGATTTTCTGAATAATTACTTTGATTATTATAGACCTGTTTCTCTCAATTACTCAGTATTATTATGTAAACAATGCAATATCATGTTATTATTACGTAACCCAACTAATTGACAAGTATTATTCCATAGCTACAAATCTGATATATATTTGTGTAGAGCCACAGAGTGCAAATATGTCAACTAATACTGGTTGTAACTGAATTAAAATATTAGCAACGGAATTATGCAAACAATAACAAATTGTATATTTCAGTGAAATTTCATACTGATATTACGCTTAAAAACAAATCCATTTAAGAATAAATATGTTATTATTAGAGGTTCATTAAGTTAAAACTAATGATCCACCAGTCAATCGGAACCTCTACAATAGCTGCCTTTCATATAAACGTCTAGATTTTACCGAATTTGCTAGTTAGCATTATTTTAGACTTTATACCATAGCATTAAATTTAACATTTATGGTTTTGAATGAGTCACCGTTTGAAGTCTTACTGAAAAAGAAGTAGCTTATTGAAATGTAGATTACATATTTGAACATAGACGAGTTATTACTGAACATTAAAGAAACAAAGTTTAGAATTGAATTGAGATAGTGACACACATATATGAAGAAATTCAAGTCCATTTTTGTTACTTTATTTAAAACAAGGCAAATTGTAATGCCGAAGAAAGCAAATTAACATATGACATTTAATCATGTGAATTTGAAATAAATCAATTGGATCTTTAAATTTAAAACCCACGCTAACTTTTTCAGTAGTATTTTAGGATCAAATGAACACTTCTTCTGTTAAGCTACACATATGACTAACAGCACCATACGTTCTATTTCTTTCACTTATCTTCAAATGACTGAATCCACAACCTCCATTAAGATTTCAAGGAGTCATGGAGTAGGTGGGCTTGGATCTAATTGATTACACTAAACTAGAGAAACCATGTAATAACCCTTTTAATTTGACTTATCAAGCTTATCTAGGCAAAATCTACAACTGTTTCAGCTCAGACAAACAAGTGATCTTAAAGTAGTTTACTAATAATCAGTTCATGAACTAAACGATTTAAAAACTGTATCTACATGAGACCTGATAAAGACTATTTATGAAGCTCAAAATGGGTTTTGTAAGTTAGCACTGCTAAATGCAGATATATACGATATGAACGGTAAGGTCCTATCTAATTTTCATTCAGTGGACTCAGATATCACTATGATATGTCTTTCGCAGAACAAATTTCAACAAGTTCTCAATGACTTTTCACTTGTATACTCACATCTTTTATGAAAATAACGTTGCGATCCTAGAATACTCCACCTTAATTCTGAGTAGTGTTTTCACCAGGTATAAACTTCGAAACCTGTTTAACAGTGCTTTGCAGTCCGTTTCCATTCGAATCATTTTACTTTAAACCATAAATTCATTTAACAAAGACTTCATGCTATTATAGAAGCTGAGTCTTAAAGTAAATCTAACCTGTTTCTTTAAGATTTTCAATAAACTATTTTTCATTTACTGATCCAATTCAATACAATGAAACTTGAAGTTATAACATTCTTAACTTGATAGGGTATAGAACATATTTACATCAACAAGTATTATTTAAAAAGGGCTAGTGAAAATTTTCCTTTCGAAGATGCCCTTGCGTTTCAAACCGCTCAGTAGTAATGAATCTTACCTCTCTGTTATAAGAAACAGATATGCATTGTAACACACATAATACACATTCACTGAAGTGTTAATAATATGCCCGCTGTATCAGATCAGTCTCACCAATATATATATTCAACCATTATGAAATGTTTCTCGTTCTTCTATGATCATTATCTAAATTCAGAAACATTACTCAATTCCACTACGGTTTATTCACTTCATTCATCTTAGAATGTTTAAACTAAGAAACAATTAATTTCATTGCTTTCATGTAAGTTAACAATTCACGAACATATTCATCTTAGAACTGTTCACTTTATTATCATCATTATTATTATTATCGTTATCATGATAGCAACCGATGGTTAGAGACCCTGAATGACATGGCTCACAATCGTTTGCAATGGCGCAAGTGCATCCACTCTTTGTGTTCTCCCTAATTTTAATCTCCTGATTCCTCCTTGTCTATTTTTTCTCTACCCAAATTTATTTCACTGGATTATACTCTTTAAATAACACCTTCAACCCCTAATCTTTCCGATTACTGCTTATACTCTTACTACCTCTACCACTACGGGATTTGAATCGATAACTGCATTTCTATGCTCATGTGGTATGGCAACTCGAACTGTTGTACTTACGTACGAAGTTCAACGTTGTTACTGACTGACTGAGTGATTATCATTATCATCACCATTATTTAAATAGACTTTTCCACATGTTTACAAATGAATATATTTGTAATTTAATAAATTAATTCATTGACATTGTCTAATAATTCATTTAACTAATTAATCAATCTTATCACTATCCTAAATAAATTATTTAACTCTAAGCTAATCACATTTGAATGTTGTGTATATCATATTAGATATGTATATATATAAATATATATACATGTATATGAACAATTTAATTCATTAAATCATAATAGCTTATTCATTTGAAGCTATGCTACTAATATGAAATAAGAAATTATGAATACCCTAAGTTAACACAATATAAAATAAATACTATAAAAATTGTACAAATTTCTCTAAATTATATAATAATAATAATTGTATTTGAATTCAATTAAAATCATTATTATTATTACAATATGAGTGAACGTAAAGCTGTAATTAAAAATGCTGATATGAGTAATGAAATGCAAGAGGATGCAATACATATAGCTGCTGGTGCATTAGATAAACATGATTTAGAAAAAGATATAGCTGCTAATATTAAAAAAGAATTTGATCGTAAATATAATCCTACATGGCATTGTATTGTTGGACGAAATTTTGGAAGGTAAGTTTAATTATTAATGAATGAATAAATCATATTTTTATATATATATCATGATTACCAAGGTATCATTTGTTGGATAAGATCAATTCAACACTTTTTATAGATAAAGAAATTACAAGACATTTATGTATAGGTCTATACATGTACATGTATAAAATGTTATAATTCTACAATTCAAAATGTAAACTTCATTGATAATATTGAAGCCTAAACTGTAATTTCTATTCTGTATGGTTTATTTGTACAACTAAGTGGTTATTAAGGGTCAGTAATTAAGTGGATAATATGTTTAAAGTGAACAGTACCGGGGTTCAAGTCCCAGAGTGTAAATCAACTCTGGGTACATCTAGCTGACGAGTACAAATTCGGATGAAACCCACGTTTTTTGATTCCACTACAAACCACTATTCATCTTTGTTTATATAACTTGTAATTTCCATAATACAAATTCTCAAAATGTACTATTCAAAAACTATCAATCAAACTAATCTATACATGATCGTTCAAATCAGGTTTATAAATCGATATATTAGGAACTATTTCTTTGAATTTTCAATAATTTTATATCAATAATTAAATAAACACTTTTTCTCTCTATTTCTCTTTTCCTTTTATTTATTCATCATTACATAATAAAGTTATGTAACACATGAAACACATAATTTTATATATTTCTATTTGGATGATCGAGCATTCCTTCTATTTAAATCTGGATAAAAGAATAATTTATAAAAGAACTTATGAAGATAATTATATTGAACAATACAAATTTATGGATCTATTCAATGTACTTGACTTTTCGTATATTTGTCTTCAATGATTGCATTATATTATGTTGGTAATTGAAAAGAAAAGGAATATATCATTATTGTTTTAATATATTGAGTGTTTTTATTTCTCGGCTATTTATTTCACATATTAAAACTTATTTTGATGGTAATTATTATATTTCAATGATTAGTGTATGTACAATTTTTAACACTTGAGAAATGATATGTTGTTCCAGATGGAACTAATAAGAAACATACACACCGAACGATATAGAATATTTGGGAGAATAACACTGTATCTTGACACTTGTTTTAGTTATTTGAATCTAGACCACTATGAAAAACCTGGAACCACTGAATGACCGCTTTGTCTTAGCATGAGAATCTTTAGCAGTGAGAATTTACGATCAGGTATCGCGAGATTTGAACTCAGGACCTATCAGTCTCGTGCACGAACACTTAACCTCTAGACCACGGAGTTGGCATCCAACAGTGTTTGACTCAAAGAGTTATTCAAGAAGTGATTATTTTGTTTGTTAAGAAGTATTGGGATGGAGAAAGAACACTAACAGTCATAGGTTATCATAAAAAAGAATTATTTGCCGATTATAAATAAAATGAATATGTGCGAAGTAATTGAATGGTACAAAAATATCCTCGATAGAACATTCGATTTAGATAGATAAATATGATGACATTATAATGACTCACAATGTTCAAAGAAAGTTGGAATGATGGCTAATAACTATTGAAACTATGGAGGATTTACTAGGCAGTTATGGACATTTAATGAAAGAAAAAGAAGACTAAGAATTCTTCAATCAAAATACGTTGAATGCAAAATATCACTGAAATAAACACTTTGAAAAAATAAGCTGAATTTGTATTTGAAACCGAACTTATTAGTTAGATATTTCTCGATTTTGGTTGTAACTAATTTTGATAATTAGTTTTAAGTCAAAAATGCTAAAACTCACTGGATATTTCAACGATTACACCTCATATATAGACAGATATTATGCAAACCGTTCTATTGACGATTACTGCAGCGAAATTCAGCAATATTGCCTAGTTTTCGTTGTAAAACAATGTTTAATAATTTTCACATTTATAAAAATTAAGCAAGTGAAACAAATGTGCAGTAAAGTCATATTTATGGTCTAAACCATTTGATCTGTGAGTCCGAAAAGTTTTCAAAACTACAATGTAGTGACACATTTAGGCGTACAATACTGTTTTCAATTCTATTACATGGTTACTATGGCCTAGGTCTATTAGGAATGGGTTGCGTGTTGATTAATTCTAACCATTTTCAAACTACAAAGAAAGACGCTTGTTAAGGCGCTTGATGATGGTAAAATATTAAATTCTCAGCTTCTCTTTAACATACTTTATCGATGGTAGCTGTTGTAAAACAAGGAACGTTGGAAAAGTAAAAACCTTTGAAAATATCTTACAGGTTATTATTATGATATACAATCTCACTGCATAACTACTAGATAACTGTAATACAGTATTTTTGCATTATTCTTATTGTAATTTTCCAGTAGACCTGTTAACTGTTGTTTTGCGTTTTACTACTTCTTAACTATTTATAATTAACTATGCACTATTTGCATCGCTCTCTGCTACTTATTGATTGATTGTGTTCAAAGAACGATTTATTAATCAGTGTGGTTTGTGGTCTGATAAGTGTTGGATGTAAGCTGAGTGTCTGAGAAAGATACTGGCTGGCTGGGCGGTAGATACATAATGCTAATAGAAGATTGTCTAAAAACGTTACTTCAGGCTCACGGCTGGGTGTGTAAGAATTGTAGACTGTAGTCAAAAACATCATATGCGAGATAGGAAAAATCATTACGGCTATCGTGAATGGCGATTTAGGCGCGTGATATCGTTCAACGTACAACACATACATAACATTAGCCATGTGGTATAGCTGAAAGCAATACGTGTTGTCTTGATTTGTGCCAAATGCATTTTATAGTATTTTAAAACATAGTGGCACCAGACATCCTTTTATGCAAACCTTTTCAGAAATTCACTAACAAACACAGATTCAACACAAGCTAAGTAATTATGATCAGCTGAATAATGGTAATTTCTAGAAAGATATTCAGTAATGAATAATCGTGTGAGTGACAAAACGTATTGTGGATTCGGGGAAGAAGTGATACAATTTGCTGAATAAATAAATTAGTTTAGTGTCTTTGAAACACCAGTTGAATGGTAGCTGTAAGACAGAGATCTCAGATCATTTATTATTTGCTTGATTGAAACATTCTTTTATGCTAAGAATAAGAAGGGGGTCAACTATAAATGGTCTTTTTTAACGAATTACCAATGGATTATTAAATTATTAAGAAACGTCTTCTGATGAAAAAGTATTGCATTCTCTAACCGTTTTAGTCGCAAAATAATATGACGCGAAAATTAACGCTATTGCTGATGATATCCGGCCAAAGGATATTCAGTATCTTCTGTGGACAATTGTTCATAAATGCTTGTACCATTTCGATTATGGTTGTGGCAGTTCTCCGCGTCTGAGCTTCGTATGGTAGAACTGTCTTGACAATCGTATTTAAGACTGTGACTTTGATATTGCTTATAGACAGTTTTTTGAGTTCCGTATGTTCTTCATTTGTATCAGATCTTCATCGGTCATCGATCATGCAGCCCATGTAAGTTAAAGTTCCCACCTCTTTCAGAACTTGTCCATAAAGTGTGATTGGGTTTTTCTACATGTTGTATTTAAGGATATTGGTTCTACCTTTGTGCATGTTGAGGCCTATTGCTTCACAGGCTAGTTACCTTCAACTGCATCTGTTCGTGTGTGTTGGATAAAAAAGCTAGGTTACCTGTGAAGTCTGAGTTGTCTACTAACATGCAACCTGTCCGTTTTATTCCGTGTTTCCCCTCAGATGTCGGAGTCTTCATGATTTTATGTATGTATGATTTACAACAATGAAATAATACTCATCGAGTGGATATTTTACGTAACAATTACATAATGACATTCAAATTATTATTAAGTAATTGAAAGAAAGAGGATTGTTAATAGTCAAAGTAATTATTAAATCAAGAAGTTGCTACGTTGCGTAATATATGAAAAAGAGAAAGAACCGAACTTTTTAATGGATGGTCAATAGAATAGTAGTTACGTAAGAATCAAGAGATGAATATTGTGAAATTATAATGTTCAAAAACAGCAAAAGCAAAATTACAAAAATTAAAAAAATATATACCAAATGGAAGTATGAAAAATAGTTTCGTTGAGGTAAATCTTATACCGATGGCCAAGGCAGTGAAAATGTTTGTACAAATCTCTTTTGAATGCAAACGTTAGGTTTGTGAACATGGATTGCGATGGCTTCAGCAATGTGCAAAATGCGCACTCATACACCATGTGGCAAATTTGATGGGATATGGTAGATAACCTTAAAAGGTTTATTCAATTCAACTTGATGACCTGTGTCAACCAAGTGAGAGAGAATGGAACTTAAATGTCATTATGTAATTGTTACGTAACAAATCCACTCGATGAGTATTATATCATTATTGTAAATCATATATATATTAGCGTAGAGCCATGATGAAAAACTAATTGAGAAGAAATTTCTTCACTCGAGTCACTCCTTCTTTATTTACTAAATGTCAACATGGGAATCTCCACAATTCATTCAATCACCGGAGAAAGAGAAAGGGGGAGAGATAGCAGCTTTGCTGACACTGGTCCTCACTTGAAATGAGCCCGTTAGCTGTTCTCCGTGCACACCTATACACTGTAGTCCGTCATATTAATTTCGGATGATGTTGACAATCATTATAAACACATTACGTTGTCTAAGAATGTTCTACAAGGTTCTCCAACCTTTGCTGTCAAACGCCTTCGCATAACCAAGGACGTTGGTGTATAGCGACGAGTTCCATTCAGTTGATTGCTCAACGATTATCCGTAATGTCGCGATTCGGTCTGTGCACAGCCATTCATTACGGAATCAAGCCCTTAGATCTCCAAGTTGGGCGACTGTTAAATCTTTCATCCGCTTCAGCAATACTCTGTTGGAAAAGTTTCCTAGTACCGATAGTAGTGTGATTCCTCTGTGGTTCTCACACTTGCTCAAATCTCCTTACTTTATTTCTCGATGAGGTTTCCTACTCTCCAGTTAATCGGCACTTGTTCTTCCTCTAAAATCTTCCTGATTTGAACGTGATGCATTCTTGCAGTTACTTCTATGTCTGACTTGAGTGTTCACGCTAATATATTTTCAAGTCCTGCTGCTTTTCCACACTTGATTTGTCTGATGTCCATCTCGACTTTTTCGATCGTTGATGGAATGACATTTATAGGAAGGTCCGTGTGTTCTGCTCCGATCTCCCGTAATAATTATTATCATAGTTCTAATATAAAACAGATTTACGTAATATCGCCTTTTCATTATCGCTATTAGCTGAATACATCAACATTTCTAGTTTTCTCTTTTAGAGATAAACCACTTAAGACCCAGTAATATTTATTCAACAATGACTAACAATGATTTTAAAGACAGGAGTGATTTCAAGGGAGACAGGTTCAGTTGATTCAGGTCCTGTCACGGCTATGAGAAAACAGTTTCTCAAAAGTGTCGAGACAATTAGAAATGTGTATTTGAGGACTCGTTTTATCGAAGTACTATTCATTCCCTGTAATGTATCCACACATATATTTGCAGTCATTTTTATTTTCATCACAAAATGATTAGTTTTGCAACTATCGAAAATCAGAAAGAGCCAAAAAATTGTTTCGTCCCAAGAGGGTTCTCCATAGCACTGCGTATCCATGATCTAACAGGAGACTGAATCCAGAACCTTTGGTCTCTATTCAAGTGACTGACCTCTAGACAAACTTATTACTCGTTTTACATTCATCATTTTTGTATTGTATTTTAAATTACCGCTTCTTATTTACTTGATGTCTTATTTAACCTTATTTCCATACACAAAATCCCTTTGTATTTTTGTTTATACTTGGTAAACTTACTTGATTTTAAGTAGCAAACATATTAAAGTACCATATTTGAAGATTTACATATGCAGTAGTCATGAGATAACTGTATGCAATGAATTTACAGCATTTCTTTGTCAACCAGCTATAATTTAGCTACTAAAACAGTTGATTAATCAAATATTTTCTTTTAGAAGAGAAAATTTTATAACATAATACTATTCTACTGGTTAGTAGTAACATCCGAAAACATTTAATTTGCAGATAACAACTGAAACATTTATGGTAAAGTACTTTGAGTGACTATTTTTTCCAAAAACGTTAAATTTATTGCAAATGTACTTTAGCGTATACATTTGAATAAGAATTATTTCTCATCAGTCATTATATATACATATACATACATGCGCATATTTGATAAAAGCAATACTATAAAGCCTTAATAAAATCTCGTCTTTGATGGTTGGTTAAATTTTATTCTATTTTAGTCATCAAATTATCAATTTGGTGACTGAGATTCTGTCTGAATTAAGTACCAGATGAAAAGCACCAGTTAGTGCCGGTACACACAATTTAGTCTTCAATTTAAAGTTAATTGTTGTTGGGTATTTAGTTAACACAGCCGTATGAATTAACGATTACATTTAATTAATCACTAAACTTCATCAAATTTAATGAACTTAAATAAACAAACCATCAAATCTTCCAACCGATTTTTGTTTTCTTACTACAGAAAGTAATGAATATTATCAGATTTTGTATGTACTGAATGTAAACAGAATTATTTGTCGCGCACCAACATACTGAAGTATTTTTATGATATGTTTAAGATAATTCTGTTTCCAATAATTTTCGACCTTTTCTAAGTCTATATCATTTCAACTGTTTATTCAGTTAGTATGTGCTCTTTAAACACAATTTTATTGCTTTTATGAGTAAATTTGAATATAGAAACACCTAGTTCGGTCAAAAGACATACAGAAATAAGGACGTGAAGACATTATTTGGTTTTGATTTGATGGAACATAAACTGTCTGTTGTTTGCAAAATATTAAAATATCTCTATATTATCATAGTCAGTAAAATTTGAAAGAATCACCATATACTCCACGAATAGTCCTCTAAATTCTAGTCAAATCACAAGAGTCAACAAAAGATTAATGGGGAACAGATTGAATTACCAGATAGTATACAGAAATTTGAAAATTCCAAAGTCGGTGTTCAATAGTATTGAAAGCAAAGGAAGACTTTATACAATAAAGCAGACGTTAAAAAGCTTATCTCGATATTAGTAAATTAAAAACGTCAGAGCAAGATTAACAATAAGACTTGAATCATGATAAATGATATTTGATATTTTGTTAAGACAAGCGTTCAATAGTTAAAATCATGATCTAAGCTAGACCTACACTGAAAACCTGGTAGTACTTGGCGGCCGTTTCGTCCTATTAAAGAACTCCTCAGAAGTGTACATCAACAACATAATTTGTCTTTGTCTTATTTTCCTGTTAAAAGTTTCATTTCTACATTATCATTAATAGATCAATTAGTAGTTAGTAACTCTGATAAGTTTAATTTATGTAAACAAAAATATAATGAAAATTTCCATGCTGACGTTTGGTAAATAAAGAAGGAATGAGTCGAGTGAAGAAATTTCTTCTCAATTAGTTTTACATCATGGCTCTACACTAAAATAAATATTTATTATTTACAATAATGAAATAGCACTCATCTAATGGATACAATACGTAATAATTACATAATCATATTTCGACTATAAATTAACATTGAGTAATTGGAAGTAAGAGAATGTGGCAAATTTGATGAAATATGGTTTATGAGTGCGCATTTGCACAGTACTGAAGCCATCGCAATCCATGTTCACAAACCTAACCTTTGCATTCAAAAGAAGTGTGTACAACCACTTTCGATACCTTGGCCATCGATATAGGGGCGTTTGTAACAGAACATTGATAAACTATTTTCGTACTTCTTCCATTTTGTTTTTTGAACTTTGTATTTTAAATATTCTCAACATTCATCTCTTGATTCTTACATAACTACGATTCTACTAACCATTCATCAAAATATTATGTTCCTTCTCCTTTTCATATATTATGTAACGTAGCAACGTCTTGATTTCCGAATGATTATTTTGACTATTATTAATCCTCTTTCTTCCAATTACTCAATGTTAATTTATAATCGAAATATGATTATGTAATTATTACGTATTGCATCCACTTGATGAGTATTATTTCATTATTATAAATCATATATATTTATATTCGTGTAGAGCCATGATGTAAAACTAACTGAGAAGAAATTTCTTCACTCAATTCATTCCTTCTTTAAATAAAAATGAACAAATAACTCTAACAGATGGATTTTGTGGATATTATAGTAGTTTCAATGGTTAAGATCATCAGTCAGTTAAAGCTAGACCAACATGGAAAACCTGGAAGCACTGGACGACCGTTTCGTCCTATTGTGCGACTCCTCAGCATTGTACATCCACGACCCCGACCCCTGTGAGATTCGAACCCGGGATCTACTGGTTTCGTGAGCGAGCACTTAACCACTAGACCACTGAACCGGCATCCAACGGTGTTAATGTTACGGTGTTAATGCGCACTGCTGAGAAGTTCCACAATATAATGAAACGGCCACCCAGTGCTTCTAGGTTTTCCATGATGGTCTAGCTTCAACTGACTCATGATATTAACCACTGAAATAACTTTATATTGATATATCTTTATCATAACGTGAATTAATCTTTTATCTTATCAAAGAATGTATTCATTCCAGTTCATTATCAGTTTATAATGTCATGAAGAATTTGTGATTTATTATATCATTTCAATAATCTTTCTAATGATTATTCACTTATTAAACTTTATGATTAATTACTAATTTAAATAGAATCATAATAAAGTTCAATAATGTAATGAATGGTTTAAAAGTGGAGGACTTTTCTTTTAAAAAGTTGAATTACATATCAAATTATAAATAAAATACAGTAAATATAAATTTATCACGTAAATTTATCTGATTGTTTTACTGTACAGTTAGTTTGCCTATATTGCATTACAATATTACCCATTTACAAAACTTATAATGGAAACAAGTATAGATTTATTAGAATCGTCTGAAGTAAAAGCTCATGTTTGTCATACTGATATGAATCAAACAATGCAAGATGAAATAATCTCTATATGTTTGAAATTTTGGAGTTTAAATCAACGAAGTTTAGATACTACAGCATATATTAAAAGAAATTTGGATATAAAATATGGACCAGCATGGCACTGTATTATAGGTGATGAATATAACAGGTATGTAAGTTATTTTTTAAAACATAAATTCATGATTTATTTAGTATAATATGAAATGATTTATGATATAAATGTATAGGTCAGTAATATATTTCTGGGATTTGTGCAATGTCAATACATATTAGCAGCACATTACTTAAAGGAATTTGAATACAGCTACGCAGTGTAGTATTATACATAAAGTAAATGTAGTAATGTGTTATAGTTAATCTATTTCATCAGAGTACTGCATCAAATTTAAAGCCTATCAGTTATATTTCATAGATGTTAATAATATACTTTTTAACAACATGTTAACTAGTTCAGATTACAGTAATAGCATGTCGTTCTTTCTTGAAATATTCCTAAGTAATACTACTTCGTCTAGCAGTTGAGAAAAGATTTAATGTAAATTTCTTAATTACTTATTTACAAACTTACGCCTGTTACTCCTGTGGAGGGGCACAGACCAACCACCAACACTCCATCCAACTCCGTCCGGTTCAATCCTTCCAGCTCTTTCCATTTGTTATTCATCCTTTTCATATCTGCTTCTATTTCCCGAGGTAATGTGTTCATTGGCCTTCCACTTTTCCGCTTCCCTTCAGGATCCCAGATTAGGGCTTGCCTCATGATGGAGTTTGATTATTTGCGTAATGTATGTCCTATCCATTTCCATTGTTTATTCCTAATTTTCTGTTCATCTGGAAGCTGGTTTTTTCAGATTTCTTAATAAAGCTTAGAAATGTAACGTATTTCACACAAAAAGTTATAATTAATACAGGATCTGAATCGTTTCTTTTGTGCTATTTAAAATTCAGTTAATTTTATTTCGGTTATTTATATACTCTAAAGAAGTGACATACAGTTAGTTGCGAAACATCGGAAACACGATTTTTCTATTCATTGAGATATAACAAAAACCATATTCCATGCAATTGGTTCCCTTTATGAATTTAAATAGAGCAAGAACAAACATTGATGCAGAATAGTATGAATTCATATTATTTCGAGGTTTCTCGTCAGCTGCTTACAAATTAAAATTGTGATAGAAGTTTTACATGGAGATAGTGTGAAACAATTGACATAAATGAGTGTAAATAACTTGATTACAATAATAACTATATATATGCTAGAAACAGGTCCTCTTAAATCATCTTAAATTTCCAAACCCTATTTAATTATTATTACGTAATCTACCTTATCATTATTTAATTCCATTAATCTCTACAATTGTCACACAATTTATGAACTTCACTAAATTATTACACCACCCACCCTGGATTAACCCTCCTCTTTTGACCGCTGACCTGTTTCTAGCATATATATATAGTTATTATTGTAATCAAGTTATTTACACTCATTTATGTCAATTGTTTCACACTATCTCCATGTAAAACTTCTATCACAATTTTAATTTGTAAGCAGCTGACGAGAAACCTCGAAATAATATGAATTCATACTATTCTGCATCAATGTTTGTTCTTGCTCTATTTAAAAACCATATTGATTAATAACTTTTCACCCAATGTTCAGTTTATTTGGAACTATCAAGTCCAACCTTCACATTGATAGTCACACTTAATTTTGTAGAAAATAAGTCTCTTCATATGTTCAGTCATTTCATGTAAACGTCTACACGCTGTTTATTGTTTTACTTTTTAAGAAAGACTCGTCGCTAGTTTCGATACTTTGTCAAATAGAACAACACAGGAAATCCAAAATATAATCTGTCGCACTACATTGTATCGAATAACAATTAAACAGTTTCTAAGAACAAATATCAATGACAGAAATTTTTGAAAAACATTGACAGACTACTTTAATTGCAGCTTTTAGTCTGAAATCAGCATGCTGAATGGATTTCTTTTCTAAATCTTGGATCACATTCCTTAACAGTTTATCTTCACAATTCTATGTCAGATCAAATCGATATTTCTAGGTCTTGCAGCAAACTTAATAACATTTGATTTCTGAATTGAAATATAGACTTCTTAATTTATAACTTTAGTTTTGACTTTAATGACTATAAAACAATAAGGTATACCCGCTACATGATATTTGATTATGCTTACACATTATCGAAATTTGTAGTTACATCATTTCAACATTCTTGATCTATTATTAATTACTTAAGGAATACAATAAATAGTACTGGACTGACGAAAGTAAAGATGAATGTAAACTAATAAAAACCGTTTTAATTCTTTATGCAAGGAGGAATGTATAAATGTATGATTTAAAATGAAACAGCATTGATAAATTTTAAATGATATAACTAATGATTACCATCTGATCTAAAACGAAAAGGCAAGTGTAAACAGTAGCCACAAAATGAACTGTTTAAAGGATTTACGTAGTACCATGTCAATAATCCGGTTTACACTAATACATCTTAGTGTTCATTTCATTAAATACTGTTGTCACCATCTCACATGTTTACTCCAAACGATCTCCTCAGAGAATCTCAACATTATTTTTATACTCTGAAATTTGATCAGTATAGAACTGTTATCAAACTTACCAAGATATAACATATGACGGTGATTATATCTCAAAATGTTTACTGTATTATGCTAAAAAATACTGATTAGACAAGTATATTACAGTAAAACAATAATTAAAGTCATTATTCAGATGACACTGATTTATTGCTTGGTAAGTGCTGTTTACTGATATTAAAGTAGAACAGCAATTTTAATTTTATTTTGTATTTCCATTATTATTTAATTACTGTTGAAGGTTTCTACCATTTGACAATATAATTTTATGTTTGAATTGCCTTGAAATTGTTGAAACATCTGTGACATTAGACTAAAAAAGTCGTTGGTGACTATAACACACTTGTATAGTTTTAATAAAAAAATAAGTTAAGTAGAGTACTGAATTACTTCCTTACGCCTGTTACTCCTCGTGGAGGGGCACAGGCCGCCCACCAACACTCAATCCAACTCTGTCCGGGACAAGCCCTTCCAGCTCTTTACAGTTGTTATTCATCCTTTCCACATGTGCTTCTGTTTCCCGACGTAATGTGTTCATTGGCCTTCCACTTTTCTGTTTCACTTCAGGATTCCAAGTTAGGGTTACTTCGTGATGCAGTTTGGTGGTTTGCGTAATGTATGGTTTATCCATTTCCATCGTCTTTTCCTAATTTCCTCTTCACCTGGAAGCTGGTTTGTCCTCTCCCACAGAAAGCTATTGCTGATGGGATCCAGTCAATGGATGTTGAGTATCTTGCGTAGACAACTATTTATAAATAGAGTAAACAATGCTATTCATATCTATTAGGTTCACTATGATATTTAACTCATTATTTGTAAATTATAATATACAGTAAATTTATTTTATTTTTAAGTACTTTCAATGAATTCTCTTTGAATATCTTAATACAATAATTAATGATGTATCTTTTTTTCCTGTTCCAGTACATTTTCTGTGCGTATTTACTTTCATTTTTAGTTGTGTTACACATGATTCACAATATTTTCTCGATTTCAAATTTGAGAAGAAATCATTTATGATTTATAAAACTAGTTTATAATGATTCTGGATTTTATTATGTTAAGAAAGAGCTACACTGGATATATGAAGCTTTTATATATGAATATTGAATATATATTTAAAATAGATATACATTAGGATTAAATGAAATAAATCGCAATCTTTGATTGTAATTTTTGTTGGTTTACATTTAATAAATGATACAATGGTATTCTTTGAAGAATATAACCCTCATTTTCTTATGTTCATTGTTTTATAATAAAATGATCAAAAGATCAGGTAAACGGGGGGTGGCAATATCAAATAATCAAAATTCAATAATACTAAAATCATTTATTAGTAGTGTACTTGTTATTTTCGTCGTCACTGTTAAAAGAAAATAGGTATTCCACTCAAATTAATCTTATAGCCTTCTTACATAAAAAAAGAAATAAAATTGTACTAATCATAGATGAGGCCACATTCCTAAAATTGAGGATTTGAATTGAATTCGAAAAGAAACTGTCTGCCAACATTAAAGTCACAGTCTTCAATACGACCGTCAAGACAGTTCTACAGTATGGAGCTGAAAATTAGACAATTACCACAACCATCATAAACAGGTACAAGTATTTATAAACAGTTGTCTACACAAGATACTGAATGCTCGTTGGCTAGATACCTTTACCAACAGCCTTCCATGAGAGAGGAAAAACCAGCTTCCAGATGAAGAGAAAACTGGGAAAAGACGTTAGATGTAGATAGGACATACGTTACGAAATCATCAAACTGCTCTAACTTGAAATCGTGAAGGGAAACACAACAGAGGAAGGCCAAAGAACACACAGCGTAGAGAATTGGAAGCAGACATGACAAGGATGAGTAGCAACTGGAAAGAACTGGAAAGCATTTCCCAGGACAGGATTGGATGGAGAGTGTTGGTGGGTGGCCTATGCTCCTCCGCGAGGAGTAACAGGAGTAAGTACGCAAGTAATCACAGATGAATTCTAAACAAAAAAATACATTCAGTAGTTGGAAGCTTGAATAACAACAAATAACTGTCTACCTAATAACCGACATAACATGAGGAGGAATCAGTTATCAAGAGTTCTCTATCCGAAATACAATATCCGCCACTTGGGTAAAAACTCAACATCTTACAAAAGTACTAGAGTGTTATTTGCTATTTGTAGAAGTTACTTGTTAACGAAAAATGTCAAAGTAATTGGATTCAGGAATTTGATAGGTAAAATGTAAATGAACTAAAAACATTCATCAGGCACTTTCATAGCGCAGTGAAAAAGAACACAGGTGAGGACAACCGAATTACATTTAGCACAAAATTACAGAGTTACTTGTTGAAATAGAAAAACCATACTATAATACTTAATTTGCAAAATGTTCAATAATTGTCTCGAACTTCATTGTTGTTGCATTTCCATACCGACTGCTTTCTATCCCCGCTCTTCTTTTCTTGATCTTCCCCATCTTCTGCTGCCAGACCTTACATTTCTGACTCGCATTATATACTATTTATATCAGTATACGTAACGCGCACCACACTCGTCCTCCCTTTTAATAAGTTGTCATTGTAGTCTTTCTGATCACCGTACCGCTGTCTTATTTGGTATTTTTCGTGACTCACACACATGATGATCTTGAACCCATCTCTGCAGTTGACTGGCATTTACGCGCTCCTACATGTCTTCTCTCCGGATCGTGTAAACCGAGCTACGTCTCTCCGTAATAACGTACGATCCTTCCCACTTTGTGATCAGCTTTCTCGACCCTGATCCCCCTGCTATGTTGCTTTTCCGTTCTTTACACTTTATTAGGTCCCCCACTGCAAAAGGTTTTCACGTTCTCCTCTGTTGTTCCGCCTTCTTTACGTCTGATAGTTGTTTCTTTTCCACGTTCCTTATTGCCTCCCTCCTCTGTTTTCTTAACCTTGTTGTCATCCACTTCTGTTGTTGTGGCCAGGTCTTATTATGCATTGGAAGTCGTGGCTGTCTGTCATACATGAGCAAGAACAGTGGCTTCTTGGTTGTTCCTTGTGTGGAGGAACGATGCGCCAGCAAAATCAATAGTAACTCTTTTTCCTAATTTCCTCGTTTAGATGCTAACCATTTCTTTTAACGTCCGGTTGTTTCTCTCTGTAAGCCCGTTTGTCTGAGGATGATACGGTGTAGTTCATATCCTCTTGATACCAAACTGCTTTAGACGGGCTTTAAACTTGTCACTTTCAAAACAGGGACCCTGGTCAGTTAATATCATCTTCGATATTCCGTGACACGCTACAATTTGCCGGATTACCACTTCGGTCACTGTTCTTGCTCGCTGGTCTGCAATAAGTACGGCATCTACCCAACGTGTGGCATGTTCTGTCATCACTAGCAGGTGCTGGTTACCGCTCGCCGTCTGTGGAAAAGGTCCCATCACATCCACCGATCATGGATCACCGACTGTGGTTACTTGGATTGACTGTAATGGCGGTTGTGTGTATCGATCACTTTTCATTAGTTGACACTGCTGGCAAGTTAACACGAATTGAGCCACACCATCTCTCATGCCCAGCAAGTATGCACTTTGTCGTAGTAAATCCGTCGTTCGTGCGATGCCTATATATGCTACCTGGTGACACTCGTGTATTATCTTACGCCGCCAGTCTTTCAGGATCACAGCCACCCAATTCTCGTCATCGTCCTGGCAGGTCAGGACTCCATATGTGTTCACTCTCAGTCGTTCCTTTTGCCGAAGCAGCATTATTACCTCCTTGTCCACTGTTCGTTTGTCTGTGTCTGCTCCCTCTTTTATCACTCTGATTACCTCTATAAGGTTTCGGTCTCATCAGCCGGACGAGTTCTAATGGGCCTCCCTCTAAACTATTCACCGCGTATGCTGTCAATGGAAGCTCGGCTTCCATATCACAGGTATTCCGCCATTTCGTTTTCTTTTCCTGGAACATGGCCGACACTGAAGTCGTACTCCTGCAGACGTATCATCAATCGCGTCAACTTCCCTCAAAGGTCTCTTGCTGTTTTCTACTACTGCAGGGGTTTATTGTCAGTCTCAATGTGAAATCGTCTACCTAAAAGGTACGGTGTCCATTTGTCTAATGCTCACACGATTGCTAAACACTCCACTTCGATCGTTAAATACTTCTGTTCGGCGGGTGTGAGAACGCGACTCGCATATTCCATCACTCTATCAGCCTGACTCAAGACAGCACCTATACCATGATCACTTGCGTCTGTGGCCGCTACAAATGGTTTCTCGGGTTTAGGCAGTCTGATCGTCATTCGACGATAGTTTAGCATGTTTTTGATTCGGTTGAACGTTTGTTCGGCAGTCTTAGTGCATGTGAACTTGGTGTTGCTCATCAACTTATATAGGGGTGCTCCTATTTCGTTCAAATTCTCGATAAACCGACTATAGAACGTCGCTCTTCCCAGGAACTGCCACAACTTCCTTTTCGAATTAGGCACTGCAATACTTTTATGGTAAGAATTTTCTCCAGAAATGGTTTTATTTACCCATTTCCCACTTTATGTCCCGTGAAGGTGACGCCATTTTTCGCTATCTGCGAAATGGCCTTATTAATTCGAAGTCCGAATTCGTCAATTCGCTTTAAGACCGCTTTCACATGCTTGGCGTGATCTGTTTCTGTCAGGCTGTACACAACTACATCTTCGCCATATGCCTCGACATTATCTCGATTCTTGATCAGTAGCGTCATTAATCGTCTGAACGTAAACGGTGCACTCGCCAGTCTGAACGGCATTCTTTTAAATCGATACTGTTTATCACGTACAGTAAATGCTATCTTGCTTCGATCGCTATTTTTTATAGGCAGTTGACCGTAAATCCAGCACTGTAAACACCATGGCATTCTGTAGACGATCTAATGTTTCCACCACTGTTGGCATTGCACAACGTTTCGGGTCTGTTATATTATTCAATTCTCTGAAGTTGACACAAAATCTATACTTTCTATTCGGTTTCTTCACCAAGAGTACCGGTGAGCTGTATTGGCTGTCCGCTTCCTCAATTATACCTTCTTTCAACATTTCCTGGACCTGTCGATTTACCTCAGCCTCTAAATGCACCGGTACACGACGTGTTGCAAAGATATTTACTCGATCGTCCTTTACCGGGATTTCATGCTTCACTTTGTCACAAAATCCATACGGCTCCCCATCTCCAGTGAATAGTTTCGCATACTTTTTGCATAACTCGTGAATGTCTGGTTCCTTTACGAGACATCCGCTGCAACTCTTATTTCAGCCACTTCGCTACTTTCGTGTATTGTCAATGAACCATATTTCGTGACCACCTTACCGCTTCTTAAGTCAACTATCGCTTTTACTTCTCTTAGGAAATCTGCTCCTAATATCGGTCTCGATAAGCTTGTGGTTACGACGAACGGAAAATTTATCTAGACATCGCCCACTTTTAAGATACTGTTAGATACCCCCAATACCTCTAACATACGCCCTCCTATAGTATGGACAGCTAATGTACATGGATTGAGTCTATTACATCGCTCTTTGCCTATAAATGATACTGCTGCTCATGTATCGATCAGACAAACTAAATCTCGTTCATTTATGTTCGCTCTCGTATACACTGCCCCTCTGTCTACTAACGCAACAACCCCCAGATTCCTAGGATAGAAAGAGCACTCGTTGTAACGTCTAAAATATCTGCGTGCTTGTCTTGTTGGACAGTTTATTTTCCAATGTCCTGTCCCTTCACAAGCGTAACATTTATCGTTCCTTTTATGATTCACTCGTATTGCTGCATTCTCACTCTCCAGCTCCTCAATCTTCTTCCCGACACTATTTATCTCCTGCTTTCCACACCCGACTGAAGCTACTGTTCGTGTCATCAGCCGACGAGTCACCTTCGCCAGTTCATTGATATCCATGGTTGCGCTGCATTTACTAGTTTCAGCTGTTGGGGAACGGTGGCAGGCACACTCTCGATAAACAGCGACGCCAACAACTGTACCTCCGACTCCTCGTCCAGATTCGGCAGGGCACGGCGTAACAATCTGGTAAGCTCTACAGCCAGCACCAGTGGGTCACCGTCGACCGACAACCTCGCCGACCGGTGCTTCCTCCCTGTCCACTGGGCTGTCGAACTCCGTCACCAACCACTCCGTGACTGTCTCTCACGTCGTCTTTCCTCCAGCACCGTCAAACCTGTCATATACAGCCCTTGCACTGCCTCTCAGCAGCGTCCCCAGAACCACCACCTTCGCCTTCGGCTCCTTCACTCCCATCAGCTCCACCGCGACCTCAAACTCCTTCAGGAAGCTCAGCACATCTTCCCATCTTCTGCTGCCAGACAATACATTTCTGACTCGCATTATATACTATTTATATCAGTATAAGTAGCACTCACCACAATAGTACAAAATTTTCATGTGCTTCTATAATTTGGTGTCTAGGAGATACCAATAAACAGTCTCTAGGCCAGTTAAAAACAATACTATGAAAGTGTAGCTGATTACAGTTCCAAAAATAAAGTCTGTGATAGTATTTTGAAAGTGGCTTATTAATATGAAATTATGTTTAGTTCAGCAAAAGATATGTTCGTCTATTTACATTTTCCCACTTCATTTATTTTGAATATAAGAATCTCACATGTTGCCTTCCTTCAACTGGATTACAAGATTGATTGATTTTACATAATTATAACATAACAAATGTAACCGGAATACAATATTTAGTAGAAATTTCTCCAAATATCTGTAAGAAGCCATGAATTTAGAACATTTTTGACCAATGAAATGTTTTATATTGGTACTTGTTTTTATACTTTATGATAATAATGTAATCCCAATTACGAATTAAAAATTAATAGCTCTACTTAACAGTATTAAGCATATTTATCAGAAAGGGTTTTGTGGAGATTTTAGAAATTTCACTGATTCAAATCATAAGTGCGGGATCGTGGATGCTCACCGCTGAGGAGTCCCATACTAAGACGAAACGGTCGTTCAGTGCTTCCAGGTTTTCCATGGTGGTCTAACTTCAATTGACTCATGATTTCAATCAGTTAAGCATATTTAGTTGGAAATAAATATGGCTTATAAATTTAAAAAAGTTATCCGATGCAAATAACCTTAAGTTGATTATGATATGTAATATTATTTAAGTATAATTTTCATTATAGAATAGTTATTCTTTCATTTATTACTAATTCATTTAATTTAGATCACATAACGTTTATTGATAATATACCTTAAAATGTTTGACATTCATTAAACTATTCAATATACTTTAAATTGATTAGTAATGAGTTACATGTCCTTAAATGAATTGAATAGATAAAAACTAGTTTACTTGTCTACATATGCAAATATATGCTTTACCGATCTCGTTCGAAATAAAACAAAAGATTGTATCCTGATTAAAGGAAAGCATATATAAATGTTAATCTTTAAAGATAAAAAGAAAATGAGTATCTAGTATAAACTGATAAATAGTAGTGTACAGAAGGTTCATTTATTATGAATGTACCTTAACAAAATGAATTGAATCTTTCTATTTATATTCATAAAGAAACTAATCATGATGAATTTTTCAGTTCTGATTTTATTTTTGTAAACTTCTATGCTTGAATAAAATGCTCATGATTTCAATCAAAAACTTAACAACCTCCACAACCCCTAAACTGAAGATTATTTATCCTTTAAGGTGGAAACGAAGAAAGATGTAATATTGTAGGTCACTAGATAATGACAAGTTGAGTTACTTTGGGTATGTATATTATAGTATTCAAACTCAATAGCATAAAAATCTTAGTGATGGTTCTATAGTTAGATTCTTATTTAAATCATCTATATATTATTTCAAATAGGAGTGTGACTTTTAGCGTCATTCAGTAAGTGTCATTTTCTTCATCCTATTCACTATGTTTTTGATTGATTGCTTCCAAAAATGAAAATGAAAGCATCCATCAGAGCTAAAAATGTACTTCAACTTTAAAATTCACCTTTTCCATAAGATGCTGTCGCTTTACCATCCAAGCTTTTCTAAGTTATATATCAAAGTCATGTTTCATCTTAAATAAAACAGAAGTGTTTATTGTCCTTAGTATTTTTAAGGGTCAGAGCTTTAATTTATGATTTTATACCAAATTTGTCAATCAGTAATGTGTCCCTTTGCATGGAGTGAATATGTTCTGCTTATCTGCACATTATGTTTACGATCAATCTTAAGTAATTATCTGTGTGGTCGTCTGCTACATGACAGTATTTGTAATTTGAGAATGATAAGTAATGGAGTGTTACAGGAATCAGAGTTGGTAAGAAAAAAATGTTTGGTCCAAACAATGGGTACGGGGAAGCTACTTCCTGAAATCTCAATCATTTTACCTTTTGTCAACTAGCAATATTTGTGTTACGGATTATATTTCTATCTGTCTGTCAGCAAAAGAGCATTCAGAAAAGCAATTGACTCTGTGCTAGTTTACACTTGGCGACGAAAATGTGTAAGTAGTGTCTATCAATTTACAGATGAACTTAGTGATGGAATCACTTGGTAGACAAAGCCGATGTTATGTGTAATTATGACTGATTGTTTGGTAATACAGTGACTGCCAAATGTTCTATGTTTGCTTATCCCTCCTCCCTTTCTGATTCAGCGCACTGCATGACATTGGGCTGCAGAAGAGATACAAGATGTCATACCAGTACATGTCGACTGCCTATGGTATTACTGTCCGTTGGTTTAAACCATTTGAGAAGTTTAAGACATCCGTATCCATGAGACATTTTTAGTCCATGATAGACCGTTGGTGAGATGAATTAATATTGGTCTTAGCCAAACAAATGGATTGATCTATTGTTCACAGCTAATTCTTCAACATAATTTTATTTCATATTTGCCAGTAAATGGTTACATTTTGCCATATGACTTTGCTTTGCTTTCAAATTGATATTATTGTTTGTACTATGATATATGCTTCTATGAGATTCTTCTCGACAGTTGTTATAGAGTTTATTATAGCTTGAATAACGATTCATTTTTGTCTGATTGTTTCATGTCTTCAGTTGTTCGTCTCTCTGTATTCTAATGTTGCTGAACAAATCAGAACACTCGCGTTGGAAAATACCTGTAGTGAAGTCTTATAAAGGAAAATGGTTTATAATTATGGTAATTCGAAATTAATTTTCGTAGAAGCGGTTTTTCCAACACATTATTTCACTATCTCAATGATGTTGTCCAACATTGGATTTTCATCATTACATCTGTGGTTTACCTGAAAATATTCTCAATAACAGACTCTTTCAGAAAGATCGGCATATTCATGTCTTCTGAAAATTTTAGTAAACTTGTTTTTTTTTAAGCTGAGGTAAGATTTGTCCAACAAATGCACTTAGAAGAATGAATTAATTTATGAAAAGGTAGAAGAGTATTCAGTGTTTTCTACAAAAAATATTGGGGTATACATAAATTATACTTTTTCAATAATCTAAATTCGAGATGATTTATGTGATATAGATTAGCTGCAACAATCAAAGCCACATTATTTAGTCTATCATAATAACGAATTGCATGCACAACCAAATTCTGTAAATCTGGAACTCTTGGACATGCACGGAATGAATGGTACGTCTTAGCACCAGACAAGTCAAGAATTCTTAGAAAGTGACCATTAAATGCTATCATCTAGATAATCAATATAAAATAAAACAGTTATCAAGGTTTAATGTGTCCACATTGTGGATCACTTCACCGTTAATGTTTGCAATTCATATCTTCTTATAAAAGCCAGTTGCATCCCTGCACAGATCATAATGCGTATATTCATGTAGCTATTTTATGTATAATGTAGTGATTTTCTCATTACAATAGTACTATTTATACAATCTTAATCTCAATGAGCTCTTAAGAAAACTTAGCGCTGAGTACGTTCAGTTGCAATCAACATCTCATGACATTTACATGAAAAAGGCGTTGATTATACTCTCCAAAATGCCGGTGAAAAATTTGGAATCAAACCACTTAGCACAGAATACACGATACGAACAGAATCATCCAACTAAGCTGCTAAGCTTATCAGTCACTTCAAAAGTAATTCACCCTACGAAATCAGTAAGTTGATTATTCTTAACCACTGGGTCGCAGGTTTAAACCCAGTTACACTTAAATAGGTTAGGGTAGTCTAATAACTTCAGGTATATGAAGACTTACATTGTTACAAGCAATTTAGTAAAAAATGTATCATCATTTAATTTTCCCTAGAAGTAAAACTCATGATAACACAAATTAGGTACTCCATGATTTTATAGTAAACGATTGAAAACTTGGAGATTTATCATGATGGATAGCTTCATATCAATAAACTAACAAGGAAAAAGACAGGACAAACGAATAAACACAATTATTATATAAATGATACAATTAATTATTTTAAAACTAATAATACAATCATCTTGCATAGTTCACAGTTTATTTGTCATTTGAATTAGTTGTCTATTTGGTTGGTTGGCTTTATTCTTTGCACCATTTTAATCTAACCAGACTTGAATAAAAGTACTGCACGATCATCTAAGTAGAAATAGATGAAGTTATTCGTCTCGTGGGTTACGTAACTTTAGGAAAAAAAACAGAAAAATAAAAAAGGGATCTTTAATATCTGTGTGGATATAGTTTAAGTATAATTTATGTTGATCCATCGGTACAAGTATCGATTGTTTGATGAGTAATGGAAATGAGTTATGCTTATCTAAAATGTAATGAAATCTAACAGATCTTAAGTCATTATACTATACAATAATAATTATTGTCAGATAGAAAATTAAAATTTTTAACAGCTAACCTTCCAAAATTTCGTCCGACTATGCAGTGCCATGTAGGATTTTATTTTATATCAAATTCTTTCTTGACATATTCTGCTATATGCATTTCCAATTCATATTTATCCAGTGCATCACTTGTTACATCTATTGCATCCTCTTGCATTTTAGTAGACATATTAGTATTCTTAATCACAGCTTTATGTTCAACCATATTTTCTAAAAGGTTGTCTGGTGTTTGGTAGCTGATTTAATTTGTTCAACTATGGACTAAGTTGTTTAGTATATATATATTATTCTATCCATTTTGATATGACTGAATTTTCAGTGTGAGATTTGGTCTCATTTGTTCCGGTTTACTTCACGTGTTATAAACATTTAGCAGTGAGTTCTTTTAAACGGAACAGGTAAATTCTTATCCTCGATTGGTCTATGATTATTGGTTCCCGTATATTTAAATATGTTTATCATATATACACTGATTGTTTTAGCTCATATTTCAAGATTCTGTAAACATAAAATGTGTCATATACTATCATTTTATTTCTCAGTGTGAGCATGATAATTTACGTATTTTCAAATGTATGTGTATTGTTAGCATAATCGGACTTATTAATAAGTCTTCAGATCTGTTCAGAGAAATGAACTTATTCAAATAATATGTAAGATCTTTAGGTTCTTACTTAGATGTACATCAACATATATGTATACGACATCACTGTAAGAGGACAAAATAAATCGTTTACTGGTTCATACTGGTGAATACAATCTGTAATACATAATTTACGAAACAAATCTTTGACGGTTGTAATTAATACTATAATAATAGGCATTTTTCAATGGCACACACTCGTAATTATTTTATCTTGATTTATACTTTGACTTCCAAAAAACATTCGGTTAATAAACATGTGAGAAAATCAATGAATAACTATGATACACCATTCGCGAGGGAATTCTCGGAGTCCTAGTGAGAAGCCGTGACCAGTAGAGCTAGTCGGTGTCGGGTAGAGACAGGTACCTACCATAGTACAATGGAAGATGGTTGCTCAATTTCGTGAATTGGTTGAGGTTAGACATTAACACCATTGGATGCCGGTTCAGTAGTCCAGTAGGTTAAGCGTTCTCGCACGACTGGAGATACTGGCTTCAAATCCCTCGAGTGGAATCGTGGATGCGCACTGCTGAGGAGTCCTAAAATAGGACGAAACGGCCATCTAGTGCTTCCAGGTTTTCAACGGTGATGTAACATCAATATGTTCATGATCTCAATCAAAAATGTAATAATTTCCGCAACCCCCATACTGATAATTCAAAAAAGATTATTTTACTGTTCAAAGACAATACAAAAACAGCTTAACGGTACTCATTTATCACAATTGATTGATCACTGGGTGCTGATCAATGTCATGTTTGTCTAGTCCTTATTAGTGCAGATCGAATGCTATCGATCATGTTGCAATGTGACCACCAGTCTAGATGACTCGACACTGCGGGCACTATGTATTGATATTTAGATGGTAGTTGGAGGTAGTCAACAGGAAACCATGGACCCGGGAGCACCGGTCCCCTCAAGATTACAGGTACACCTTGCTGACGAGTGCCAAGTAGCACGAAACCCGGGTCCAGGGTTTCCTATTGACTACCTCCAACTACCATCTAAATATCAGTACTCATCTATTTCATAGGGTTTTAAATCTAAACAAACAAACTTGTTGTGCAAGTATATTTTCATTATAAGCATAAATTAACCTTCATACTATGGATCGAATACCCCAATTATAGTTCAACTATCTTACAATAATAATTTAAAAAGAAAAAAAATAATGTACTTAGACTAATTAACTATTGGATAATATTTACAGTTAATAAGTAGTCAATGAGTAATTTCTATCATAATGGAGATGTTGAATTCTTTATTGTTTATTACTACATAAAAATGAGAGGATGATCAGAAAACTTGTATTAATATTAAAACTAAATACGATTATACTGAATAAAACAATTGAAAGTTTTACATTAAGTAAATTTAAAATAGTTTTCTTTTCAAATATTGGTATTGTTTTACTTGTATCTTCCGATCGTTATTTAAGACTGCAGTTGATCAGTACGGTACTGGGTTCGAGTCCCTGAGTGAATATCAACTCTGCGATGCAGGCATATCCAGCTGATGAGTCACAAATAGGACGAAATGCGCATCCTGGATTCGATTGCTAGCCACTATCCATCTTTGCTTAAATTCACAATTAGTTATTTTTAATTCTTATCATAAGTACTTTAAGTTTATTACTGAAAATGTTTAAATTATTAAGTTATCAAATTTAATAACCCCTATATTGACGATTGTTTTATTCAGGCATAGATTAGTATGATTGAAATCAAGTTTACTTTAATTTTTTTAGATAATATTACTACTATTTGCAACTAATAATATTTTTAAAAAAGCTTCTTTTATACTACTTAATAAATGAAGAATAATAAGTAGTTATTTTTATTCAAAAATTAAAATTATATTCTATGTTCAAAACTTGTAGTGTTAGTTACTATGTTAAACCCGTAAAACATATTCTAGATTCTGAACAGGCCAATTTAACCATTCTTCTGCAGTGACGTTCTGATCTGGTTAATTATTCACTTATCAACCCTGACTTTTTATATGAGCGTACTTGTGTGTATACTTCTTATTCTATTCATCACATATCTGTAAATTATTTTTATCTGGCCATAAATATTGATTAACACTTGATTAAATGAGAGTTGGCTCACATGCCTTCTCTACAGTGTATTCTTTCGTTTCACTTCGCTTTTTGATCTTCACTTCATTCACCACGATTCTCTGAATGTTTGTTCCAATCAACAAGTGTACAAAATATCTGTATTCAAAAATTCATTCTCGTATTCAAATTAATTAATTCCGTTATTCACCAACACGATTTAATTCGATGAAATATACAAGGATAGCCGACTTGTGTATGTCGATGACAATCAACATACAATCTAATTGGAGTCAGATACCAGGATACAAAAAAACTAAGTATTTTGTTCCCCAAACAAGTTAGGTTGTTTTTTTTATTTCAGTAGAAATATTTCGAACTTAATCATCATTTAATAGTACTGAAACAACAATTGACAACACTAACTGTGAACTATTTACTTTAGTTCCAATGAACCTAGGGACATTAAATCTAAGATTGCTTCATTACTCATATATTTGCACAATAATGTCCCACATTTACGAGAGTCCTATTTCCAACAAAGTTCTTTATTCATGTACGTTATGCTTTATTGTATGTAACATTAAAAACTAATAAATCATTTATTACACTAATTAAAAATATTATCTCAGATTCTTTTCTAAATACTTTTAGTTATGATCATGATCATGTTCAGTTTTTATGAATAAGACTCCTATCAAAGAAGCATTTCAATATAATTCTGATAGCCTGTTTTGTTTACATAACTACCGATCTTAGATACTAAACAAACTGTTGATAGAGAATTTGACAAGCTACATGAAACACATTTTGTATTAATATGGCAGTAGCCTATTAAAGATTTTAAAAGTTATTTGTTACATGGACTAATCAAAATCATTCTATTTCTTTTGTGTCAATTTATCACTCTATTACAAAAAGTATTTATCAAATTATATTTAAACTAATAAGTAAACATGTAGAACAAGTTATATTTACCTTCCAAAATGTTTTCCAACTATACAATGCCAATTTGGTGTGTATTTACGATCAAATTCTTTTTTAATATAAGCAGCAACATCTTTTTCAATATCATATTTATCCATTGCAGCTGATGCTACATAGACTGCATCATCTTGTACAGTTCTTTCCATATCAGCATTTTTAATGACAGCTTTACGTTCTGACATGATTGTCCTAATACCTTATTATGTATTATATTGTAATGATAAAATATTATGTTGTATTTATACTCTTAATCAATGAGTATCAATTGATTATTGGTGTAAAATATCTAATCTTAAATTAAAATATAACTAAGGATAATGTTAATTATGTCATTAGTACAGAGAAAAAGAATTTCATTCAAAATTACAACCTTCAAATATTACAAGTAATATATAACATGCATTCATATAATCTCACGGTAATATAATAAAATAACGAATAGCATTACTGATATTATTGCATAATATAGATAATGATAATCATAGTTTCAATAGTAATAATGATGATAATAGCTGTATGAATATGAACCACATGATATTGATGTGAAATATTTCAAAATTTCAATAAATTGTACTAATTATTATATAATAAAGATCTAATGGCAACCAGGAATATGTTACTTTCTTTGAATAATCTGAATTACAATGAGAGAAGAAAGAAAAAAAATAGGGTACTATAAACTTTTTTTGTTGTTGTCATAACAATTAAGAAAATCTAGTTTACTGACAAAATAAATTTTACTGTATAAATGAGTGATTTGTAATGAATGTAAATGTATTCTTGTCATTGAACAATATTACTTAGAATATAAATTGAAACATTTCATCAGTGAGAATTACGATACTACTAGATATTGTAATAAAAATTTACAGATTTTTAATAAGAATGATTTAGTTTTATGTAGTTGAATAAGAATATAGTAATCTATATCTTGAAGATTAGACAAAATTTGTTAAGTAAATTAGGTAGTACCATCGCCTGAAGCCCCATCTGGAGCTACTGCCGGTCCCAAGCTTGGATAAAGGAGGAGGGTTGAATACGGGGTTAGCGACCCCATCCCGTAGAAAACTAACTCGCTAAAAAAACTCTAACCAGAAAAAAAATATTCATTTTGTAAATCAAGTAGTAACTACAATTAAATCGGTTCTCACAAATATAAAGGATTAATTTATTGAATATCTCAAACGGTTTATCAGGAGATATTTATGGCGATATGCTTCTAGGTAATTGATATCATTGGTCTTTAGATTACAAAGATAGTTGTTTCAGATAAGTGAGAAACAGTTTATTTTTTATTGTCCGCTTGGTTTATTAAGGGATGTAAATAAATATATTCCGGTACAAACTATATCATTTCAGACTAGCTGAAAAAGTTATGGTCGAGTTCATTCACAAAGCCATCAACATTTAATTAACAAGCTTATTCATATAATATGGTATTACATTGCATTTAATGATACATGTTTTAAACTTAATATCAATTATGTACCTTACTAATATTAAGCGAAACATTTTCTATTCTAACCTTAATCTTATGCACACATGAGGTCATACCATGAGAAAAATATAATAAGGACAGAATTATAATTGATCTAGTTTAAATGGTTCACATACAAAGCTACTTCAGTTTAGTGAAACACGCGGACTAGTGTTTCTCAAAATTTATTAAGAATAAACATTACACTGATAATGCTATTACGTTTCAAGTTTTAAAGTGTAGTAATACGGGTAAAAGATATATCAAAAATTGCAATTATAAACCATTTTTATCATGGTTAGATATAACTATGGTTGATGTTAGACGCTATCACCACTGAATGCCGGCTCAGTGATCCAGTAGGTTAAGCGTTTGCGCGCGAGAACGAAGGCCCTGGGTTTAAATCCCGAGAGCGGGATCGTGGATGCGCACTGCTAAGGAGTCCCAAAATAGGACGAAATGGCCGTCCAGTGCTTCCAGGTTTCCAAAGGTGGTCTAACATCAATCGGTTCATGATCTCAATCAAAAACTTAATAATCTTCAGAACCCCTATACTAATAACTATAGAAATTTGATTCATGTTCCATTAAGTAGATTCAAATATATTATTGAAGAAAATAAATAATGATAGGATAAGTAAATTGTGTTATTGAAGAGACAGTTTATTGTCTCCTTTCAAACTGACGTTGCCAAAGAGAAATTGTAATCTTACTGGCATTAGTTTTATAAATTCTAAATAAATGATAACCATTTCAATATTTTACCCTTTTTTTAACATTTACCTACACAATTTATAAACCTACTCTTTTTTTCTACAGACTTCTGTATCACTAAACTAATACCTGAGACAATGGAGAAGATTTGTAGCACAGGTGGATTATTTCGGTGTTGTTTTGTTCTCTTAGCTCGATGGTTTGGTCGTAAAACTTTCATCGTTCTTCTGAACAACATCATAAGCGCAAACTTCAAGTAGAAGTGAATTATTTGAATCTCTCTACATACGACTCACAGCTTGTCTTATCTACCTCAATCATAAGCGGTTATTGTTGATCCTAACCAGTGACTAAGTGAAAACTTTAAGTTCGTTATGTGGACGGCACGTTTTTCATCGTCATAAAAGACGAGCTAGAATACACCTGAAATGTATTCGACGACATAGAGTTCACAATGAAACAGAAGTAAAACAATAAACTATGATGATCGGATGTATTGATCACCAGAACCGACACAGGAAAACTAGACACCCAAGTATATCAGAAGCAGACGCGGTTGGTAAGATTGTGGCTTTCAGTCTCTGAATGACTGCTTCTGCAATAAATCCTGATATTGGTAATCCGAATGGTGTTCTTTTCGTTTATTCGTAAATCTTACTGGTGAAGTGAAAATATGTTGTTAAACAAATATTGTTACACTCGATGCAATCAAAATAAGGAAGTAAAGAGTGACAGGTTAAAGGTCAACAATAACCACCTAGGTCGATAGGACAAACTGTGAATCATATGTGAAGAAATTCGAAGACTTTATTTATTCGTCTTTATTTTTAGCTTTGTTCAATATCATATTTATGGTACAATATAGAATTCTAAGCAAAAATTACTTCAGAGTTTCCGTTTCTTACTTCTTGATCGATATTGACGATAAATATTGAGTGATCGCCAGTTAGATATTAGCATTTCAGAAGTCGATATTTGAATAATATTCATTCTTTTCAATCTATATCTTCAAACATCACGATGTCTCCGATCGTACGTTTTGTAACTTGTACAGTGATAGGTTGTAAATTTTTCAGAAATGCACCTGAATAGGTTACGCAAATAATTGACATAATGATTTGTTAAAATAAACAAAAAAACAGATAACTTGTTGAAATATCCAGATGGCAGGAACAGGTAGCCCAGATATTCAAGCATGCTGCCTTCTACTTGAAGTTTGTGCTGATGATGTTGTTCAGAAGAACGATGAAAGCTCTACGACCAAGCTTTCCAGCTCTGAGGACAAAAAGCTAATTCCTTCATTGTTCAGTTCGTTCTCATCTTATAGTACATGTATAGTCATTATCGAAATGGAACACAATATTGGTTTAATTACGTTTTTAAACTTTTGACCCCCTAATATCTTAGCAATGCTAATATCCACTCACTCCTAAGGTTTTCTAATTGCCTTAAACTATTATCATTGCTTTTATTAATTGTTGATTCACTTTATCACTTTACACATGTTTCGTGTAGTAAATATAACTGTATACTAGATGGCTCTGTTTAGCTGTATTTCTTTGCATAATAACTGTGATTGAAATGATAAAATTTGGATTAAGGTTTCACTGAAATTAAAAGGTGGGTTCATGCTAAGATACTTTTTCCTTTTTTTGTGTAATCACCGGTTATAACTTAGAAGAAATCATGTTTGCCAACAGACCCTCACAATCTTCATGTTAAATAGCATGTTACCGTGGACTTTTAAGATCATTACTTTAACCCCTAAAATTATGCTATCTGTGACATCCCGAAGAGGATAATGAAAGGTAACCGTTGAGACTTATTTATGGACTAATACCATACACATATTTTTATTGTATGATTGTTAAGTTACTAAACTATGTTTATTGATATTCCTATTCTTATGAGCTTTATTTTGACCTGTAGACAACTATTATACGATTGACTATTCTTACGTTAATTATAGTCTCCCACAATCATAATCACTTTCTAGCTTGATCTTGTACAAATTTTATTTTCTATTTATGGTATGATGTGGTCTGTTTGGCTTGTATATAAACCGAGAATGTATTAAATATATCCACCAACGACGGAAGAAATCAAAATACCATCAGACAAATCAACAGCGGGAAAGCAGCAGGACCCGACAATATACCAGCTGAAGCACTGAAGTGAAACATCGAAGTAAATACAAACATCCTTCATCTTCTATTCAAAAAGATTTGGGAAGAGGAACAAGTGCCGAAGGACTGGAAAGAAGGACACCTCATCAAGATTCCAAAGAAAAGAGATCTAGGAAAATGTGAAAACTACAGAGGCATCACACTACCGTCAGTACCAAGAGCATTTAACAGAGTGTTGCTGAACCGGACGAAAGATGCAGTAGACGCCCAACTTCGAGGTCAACAGACTGGATTCTGTAAGGATCGGTCGTGCACAGACCGACCTACGATACTACGGATCATCGTCGAACAATCAGTTGAGTATAACTCGTCACTGTACATCAACTTCATTGATTATGAAAAAGCATTTGGCAGTGTAGATAGGAGGATGTTATAGAAACTTCGACACTACGGAGTTCCTGAGAAGATTGTCAATATTGTGCGGAACTCATATGACGGACTACAGAGCAAGGTCGTGCACCGGAGTCAGAAAAGGCTGTCTACTCTCTCCCTTCCTCTTTTTTCTGGTGGTCGACTTAATTATGAAGACCTCGACATCTGAGGGAAAACACGGAACACAATGGACAGCTCAAAATCAATTAGACGATTTGGACTTCGCAGATCACTTAGCCCTCCTATCGCGTACACATGAACTGATGCAGATAAAGACAGCCAGTGTAGCAGCAGTCTCTGCATCAGTAGATATCAGCATACACAGGGGGAAAACTGAGGTCCTCAAATTCAAAGCGGAGGACAGCAATCCAATCACTCTTGATGGCGAAACCCTGGAAGATGTAGAGTCCTTCACATACCTAGGAAGCATCATC